TCAAGCATGGAGAAATCAAGCTAGTGTTCCACTAGATGCTCCATTCCTACTGACTTGCATCCCTTCAGCTTTCACTGGCACTTTATATTTCCCTTCTTCAAGGTAGAACTATCATCGTGTTTCTTCTACAATATTTATCCACACCCCTTAAAAAACACAACACTTTGTTACTTGATTTCTCTCATATTTTGCATCTCCCTCTTTACTGCCCCTTTAAGCTTCATCTTTAAAAAAGCCAAAACCAAGCTAGGCATGATGCCTCTCACCTATAATTGCAATACTGGGGAGGATGGGACTGGAAGATTGGTGTGAGTTTAAGGCTGGGTTAGTTAGTAAGACCCTACACTTAACAACAACAGAAAACACACAAAGAACCTTTTCTTGAACCCCAAACTCCTTGTTTTTAGTTGCCACACCAATCTCTCATAACCATACTACTAGAAAACAATAGATACTTTTCTTTTGTTTCTCTATGTCCTTTTCTTTACTATACATTTAAATTCAAAACACTTATTATGAGCAACTTTCATATTCTAGGCTGTGTGGTAAGTATAATAAAGATTCTCTCTCTCTCTCTCTCTCTCTCTCTCTCTCTCTCTCTCTCTCACACACACACACACACACACACACACACACATTTTAAACAAGCATTATATGCTGTGAACAGAACCCAGGCCCCCTGCAAGTGTGGCCAGTGCTCTTAACCCATCTCTTCAGTTCCCTTTACAGATTCTTTATCATTATCTGGATCTTTACACTATGTGGTAAGAGATGAGTATGCCCAGTAATAAAGAAATGAGTTCTACATGGTATGCATTGTATGTCATAAGAGCACCTGGCAGTGGTATTCACCCCTCACAGGATTCAAGTAAGGAGGCATCCTAGAGGCAAAAAGTGGTCAAAGCTGAACTCCAAAGGGCTCAATTTTTGTCATTAAGAGAGATCCAGTGGAGAGCTTGTAGAGTTAAGTATAGGAAAGAAAAGAGGTAAATAGAACTTGGTACAGTCACAGGCCAGTACGGCTGGAGTTGTAGACAAGGCAGAACCAGATGAAAGAAAGTCTTGTGTGTTTTCAGTGCAAGCAGGCCATCATCAAGGCATCCTTGAGAGGAACGTAACATGTCTTCAAGATTGCTTATTTGGTGTGAAAGAGGATTGTTTTCTTATTTCTAAGAAGCAAGTAGACAAAAGATAGAGACATATAATATGTCTCCACTATCTAATAAATCTCCAGGAAAAAGATTAGAACTGAAGAAATATTTGACAAATGCATTTATTTGAAAATTTCCCAGAACCTCAAAAGCAAATCAAACTTCAAGATCTTGTGACTACAGAGTTCCATACAAGACAAAACAAAATACGTACCTGAACATGTTGTTATATTTCATACAACTGTGGTGAAAGAGGAAAATCTTTAAATTTCCTAGTAAGAAAAACAAAGCACCCCTCAAGAGTACAGGGAACTAAATTCAAGTTGTCTGCAAAAGCAACAAACATTCTTAAATTCTGAGCTATCTCTCCAGCACTTATATATGCATTCTTACCAGAAAAACTACAGGAGACAAGAAAATTGCATGTTATTTTATTGTGGTGAAGACAATAATTATAACCAAAACCCAACAACAGATTTCAAGAGCAACATTTGATGTCTTTCCATTTTTACCATCTCATTCCTCAAATCCAAAAGATATTTCTTTTTTTTTTTTTTTTTTTTTTTTTTTTTTTTTTTTTGAGCTGAGGATCGAACCCAGGGCCTTGTGCTTGCTAGGCAAGTGCTCTACCACTTGAGCTAAATCCCCAACCCCCAAAAGATATTTCTTAAATTAGTTTTTAAGTTTTATGTGCATGACTGTCTTGCCTGGATGTATGTCTGTGCACCGTGTGTGTGCCTGTTGCCTGTGGCCAGAAGAAGACATTGGTTCCCCTGGCACTGGAGTTCCAGATGGTTGTGAGTCATCATGTGGGAGCTGGGAATCAAATTCAGGTTCTTGGGAAGAGCAGCCAAAGCTTTTAACCGATGAGCCACCCCTATAGCCTCCGGTCCCAAAGATTAAATCTTAAATGATTCCTGTTTGGATATCATCATGTATGCTCTGAATCTCATAAATGTGGAAACTCAGGCGTTTAGGGCAAATTCTTTGCTCAGCACTGCACAATGAATAAAGTGTACAGGTGAAGTTTCAGGTTCAAAAATGTTTAACCTTTAGGGAGCTGGAAGGGTGAAGAAAAATGCTGAATGCAGACAGAGGTTGAGTTTTTACATCACTGGAATAGCTGAAGTTCAAGTATGTTTGTTAACATTTAAAGATAGTCATTAGTAGATCAAAATTAATATCCATCACTTTCTAGACAAGATCTGGTATAAAGGAATCCATAGAAAGGAACAGAGAAAACACAATCTGTGCAGAAATGGAAAACTGGAAAGCATCAGGAAAAAAATTAAGATATACTTAAAATAAAATGAGCGGAGGAAATTGATTCACCATTTGACTTGTATTTCTTTTATAAAAGTGAAATTAAAAAATCAAATTAAATAAAAGGAAAAATCTAATTATGTTACTTAAAAAGGAATCTTACATACAAAATAATGGTGCTTGATCAAAATATGCCTAACAAATGAAAGTTAAAGTGGAGGGCTGGAATGTATCATCAAAATGATATTCCAGGGAAAAGTACATAAAACAGAATCAAGTATAATTTCTTTAATATATATCTATAAAGATTTATGGACTGGAGAGATGGCTCAGAGGTTAAGAGCACTAACTGCTCTTCCAGAGGTCCTGAGTTCAATTCCCAGCATCCACATGGTGGCTCACAACCATCTGTAGTAAGATCTGGCATCCTCTTCTGGCCTGCAAACATACATGCAGACAGAACAATGTACACATAATAAATCAATAAATCTTAAAAAAAAAGATTTACTTATTTTCATTTTACATGTTGTAGGAGTTTTGTCTAAATCACTGCTTCTCAACCTGTGGGTTGTAACTCCTGAGGTCAAATGGCCCTTTCACAGAAGTCACCTAAGGCCGTGTGCATATCAGATATTTACATTATGATTCATAACAGTAGAAAAAAATCACACTTATGAAGTTGTGGGAGCCTGTTTTTTCAGGTTGCTCATGGCTTTACCCAGCAGGTCTGCATAGAGAGGATGATTAGGACCACGGGCCTGAGTGCAGGTGTCTGAGATGGTCCACACTTGGCTATGTTGGTGGGAGTGGGGGGGTGGGGGGTGGAGGGGTCTTTTGCTGCACCCCTTGGCGTCTCTATAAATACCCTGGGGCAGAGACAGTTGGGGCTCATTGTAATAGGTTCCAGGCCCTCTTGAGGCTGTCCTTTATTTTCTATGTTTATCTCCACAATCTAAATCCTTCCATCTAATATTTCCTGCTGCTCCCACTCAAGAAAACTCTGGGGAGCTGGGGTTGGTGGGAAAACAACCACATGAAGTAACAACAGAAATAATTTTATGGTTGGGGGTCAGCACAGCATGAGAAATTGTATTGGGGGTCATAGTGTTAATAAGGTTGAGAGCCATTGGCCTGAATATATGTCTTTACTTCGCATGCATGCAAGGTCCATAGATGCCAGGAGAAGACATCAGGTCTCTCTGGAACTGCCCTGTGAGTGCTGGGAACCAAACCAGTCCTCTGAAAAGAGTAGAAAGTGATCTTAACTACTGAGCATCTCTCCAGTCCCTCACATACTATGCTTTTAAGAAACTATATATTTAAGGAGACTATCAGACAAAAATCTACATGTATGCAGTTCAACTGGGTCTGAGGAAAGAGGAAATACATTCATTTATAAGAAATAAGACATTTTCTAAATTATAGTCCCTGTGTATGAAATATTAGCACTGTTATTAAGTGTGCTAATGTGTGTCCCACAGAAGGCAACAGACATACAGAAACAATCAGGAGACTTGTGGTTTTCACTGATTATGAGTTCAATCTGGTTGTACAGACTTTGCTGAGCAATTTCTGGATCTAATATAATTAGCAAACAAGTAAATATGCTTGAAGGAATACTGAAGGAATATTTCGTATCTGTGGGGTACTTTGTCTTCCACACACTCAAGATGTTCATGATAAGGTAGCCATTGCTTGCAACAAGTGTTAGATGACGTGGACGACAGGACTTGTTGAAAACCAGTGCTTGTCTACAGAGGAACTTGCTTCCTGGGATCTGATGTTAATGCAACAATATTTTCCTTCGCCCCCTCCCTCCCCTGCACGCCGTGTGTGTGTGTGTGTGTGTGTGTGTGTGTGTGTGTGTGTGTGTGTGTGTTACATTGCATATGTGTATGCACTTAGATAATTCAGATAAAGACCCGAAGACTAGAAACACTGTCCGTTTCCTTTGAGACAAAGTCTCCTAATAGCCCGGACAGAGCTCACTAACTGGGCTAGCCAGGCTAGCCAGCAAGCCCCAGGGAACCTCCTGTCTTCCTCCCTGCAGCACTGTGAATTTATCCCTAAGCCAACACTCCTGACATCTTTACATGGGTTCTGGGAATCAAACTCAGTTCCTTATCCTTGCGAAGCAAGCACTTTACTAAGTGAGACTTCTCCACAGCCTGAGAACACAACATCTGCTTTCTTCCCTAAGAATGATGGTGCAAATAGAATACGCACAATGCTGCTGAGATGCAAGGAAAAATTCAGATTTACCCTGTTACTCTGAAAACATTGCTTGGTTGTCATGTGTAGCTTTTAAAAATCTATGGAGGGCTTTGAGATATCATCTCATCCAATTTGTATGTTTATTCCTGTAATTTAGGAAAATCTTTTCCTCTCTGCTCTGCTCTGAGCTGGCCTTTTACTATTTTTGTTTAAAGGACTCTGTTGAGAGTAAACTCTCCAACTGGGGTCTAATCTGAAAGAAATAAAAATGTTTTTAAAAAGCCTAGCTTCTTCCTGGTTTGATAGTTGCTAACGTTCAGATATGTCCAGCCAACCATCTGCAACCACAAATTCCCTGCTGAGGAACTGGCGGGAGGCAGAGGAAGAAAAAACAGCCCAGGAGTGAGCAGAGCTTTGGCAGTCAGTCTGAGCTTAGCGAAGAATTCTCTTCAGAAACCAGAGGGAACAGAACCGTTCCCGCTAAGTAAAATTAAACTCAAGATGCAGCAGTGATCCGAAAACGAAGAAATGTGAATTCTCCTCCAGGACAAAGATCTGTGGATGAAGTTTTTGAAGACTTCTGCTTTAACTTCCCTCAGTAAGTTCACTTTGAAACGGTGGTTATTAGCACTTCAATGCAAAGGACAAGAAAAGGCAGCAGAGCCCTGTCAAACATTTCGGTGGAAGTCATTAGCTGTAGGGAGTTAGGAGTAAGTCACTTTGATTTTGCAGACCTTTGAGTATGTTATACTGCATGGCTAAAGAGCAGTCGGAAAAACTAAAAACTTTCCGTTTTGCTCCATGACTGAAGCATTTTGCACAAGCAGCACATTAAATGGAACAGGCAAGTGGGTAAGTGGAAAGGAATGTAGCTTGTTTGCCTCTTGCTGTTTTCAAAATTACTTGAATTGCTTATTCCTTTTTTGTGTGTGGCGGTTTTCGGTTTACTGCCAGAGGAATGTAAACATCGGGATACAAGATTTTATGAATTTTGAGAGTTGTTTTTAACTGACTTGAGAGTATTTAACCAAGAAAACTTAGGAAATACTCTACTGACCTGTTTATCATACTAAATACATGAAATGATCTGACTTGTGCAATGCTTGCACTCCGAGTACCAGGAATACTGTCTGACTGGGAAATTACGGGCTAATAACCAATTTGTTATTTTTAAAATTACACAATTTACTATTCAGAGCAATTTAAGCTAACTTAATATTTTATTCTTCTAGAGCAAACAGCATTTTGCATGACCGTGTACCACTGAATAATTAAGTCTTAACAGCCAGGAACAAATAATGCATAGTGGTTAGATTATAAAACTGTTCTTATTTATGAACATTTTCCTCCATATATAATAATTAAAAAGAAGAGTCGCCATTTGGACAAAATATCTTTATATTTTGGATACCCAGGCTTGCCACAGTATTGATTTCTAATTGAAAATGTAGTTTAGTATTTATTGGAGTTTCCAACTGTAGGAGCCTGCTGATGACATTACTCCTTGGACTTTATGTAGCTGGAAAATTCAAACACTTCAACATTAAATTATCTAGAATGTCCATTTGTCTCCCTTGGACTTAGATGCTATTGACCTGTGGTTTTCGGTTTTTTTTTTTTTCTTTTTTCTTTTTTCTTTTTCTTTTTTTTTGGTTTTCCTAGGAGTTTTTCAGTGAAGGGTCAATAAAGGGTTGAGTTAATCATTGTCTTGAGCTCATGACATACAAAGCACCTATCTTTTCTTTTTGTTTATTTATTTCCTTTGAGTCAAAGTCCCATTTCACACCTGACCTCCATTCCTATTTCCCACTGCCTAAAATGATCTTTTTAAATTTGATAACGATCTTTTAGTTCCAGGATCTATTTAGAAATATGTATTGCTCATGGTGTGAATTCATATAAATTATATTGTTATATAAGTCAACCTTTTCTTTCTTTTTTCCTCCTTCCTTTTTTTTTAAGATTTAGTTGACACCATGTTATTTAAGATTTCTTATATTGAGCCATGAGCATCAGCCCATTGCTTCTGATTCCTACAGAGTTAGGTTTGAATAGTATTTGTAAGTGTGTGTTCTAACACCCTGTCACAGTGACCTATATATGGAAGAACCTGAGTACAGTTCCCTTGTGAACCCTTGCCTTGGCATACAGACCCAGGAGCAGAACTGACTGGTAGTGGGGTTCTGCTGAGTAGTAACTTAGTAATTAGTAATAACTACTAGTAGTTAGTAGTAACTACTGGTAACTAGTAATAACTACTGGTAATTAGTAATAACTAACTAACTGACAGGATAACAGGAGACTTCTACCAGCCTATATAAAGCTTGGTCAGCTTAGCTGCCAAGTTTCATGAGGAGAGCAGCATGTGACATTAGTAATCTCTGAAAAGTCATTCCATCGAAGAAAAGACTCTCTCTCATAACTGTTTTCCTTTTTTATTTTTTTCAATAGATTCTGCCATCTCACATTTTCCTTCCTTTCCTCTGTTTTCTGTGTTTGGAGCCCTTCTTCTGGAGGCATATAAGTGGAAACAGCTGTTAAAATGTTTCCTTTTGGTTTGATTGCACAATGTTTCTATTTCAGACTTCCACATTTACTTCCTTTGCATCCTTTAGAAAAACAAACAAGTCAAAATGAGGAAGAGACACTTCGGAGTGGGTCAGCAAATGTGGGCTCTTCTCTGCAAGAACTGGCTCAAGAAGTGCAGGATGAGAAGAGAGACATTGATGGTATGGTTCAGGATCTATGTGTTCTCCTATGTAGAAAGGAAAAGGTATTTTCACAGTGATGTCAACACAGTAATTAATCAATGATTTTTTATACATCCAGATATAATTAATAGGCTAGAGATTTTCAAGTCCTGGACTTTGCTACTATTTTTTTTCAAATGAAAAATTTAAATGTGTAGCATTAAATATCCTACTAGAAACGTTTTTAAAAGAACTCATATTGAGAAATTCCCTATAACATGAAGCTGTACAGAGATAGTGATTAACATCTGGTTTAATTTAGGTCTTATGAAGGCATAGACACTCAAAGTAATTAATTCATAATTACTTCAGAGTGTAACCTAAGGTTTAAAAAAATGAAAAAAGTGTCTTTCACAAAGAACTACCACTGACGCTTTCTCCTTTCTCTACATTTCTGTGCCCCAAACAATTCTTAGAACTCTCTGTGACATCAGCAGGACAAGAATAATTCACTTACTGAGGTTTATACCAGTGTGTATTCTCAAACACAGAAAGAAACAAACTTAATGTTTAGACATTAACATGGATAAATGTCTCACAAAAAAGTGATTTTAAGGAAAGGACTTCAGATTAAACATATACAGTCCTGTAGGACAGGAGTGTGAAACACTTTAAAAATATTTATTGCCTATTACCATGAATATATGAAAGAGTGATGATGTATGCAAAATGAAAGATTGTGATAATTTCTAAATAATAATAAATATAGATTACAATGATGTAGATGATGTGATTAGCAGAGTGTGCACATAGTTGTGTGCAATTATATATGCTGATTTTTCTTCGTATTTAAAAAGATTTAATTCATGTGATTTCATCAAAAAAGTGACATGCAAGTGATATATAATTAGCTCTGTTTAACCATTCTACAGTGCATACCTATATTGAAATACATTGTACACATAAATGAATATAATTTTTGTCTTTTAAAACTCAAACACATAATTTAAAATATCATAAAAATTTAATGGTTTTTAAAAAGAGAATGGTATTTTGCTGGGAGAAAAATGTATCCACCACAAAGAAATTATAAAACTGTGGAAAGATACTCATGTAGTTATCATGTCCTTCTCAACAAATCTGAAAGCAATAATGTGCTTATAATTAAACAGAAAAAATGATATTGGGGCCTTTATTTTTATTGCACTAATACTCTTTTTGTTTTAACAATGATTAGATATGTTTCCTGTAGAATTCATGATAAACACAAATTAAAGTCACTCATTAAAAGAATTAGCATATTAATGTCTGATTCTGTGAAAAGTATGGGTATTCATCCAAGAAATATTTGATGAATGTTTTAGATTGTAAATGAATAAAATATGGAGGAGCCTTAAGCGTAAATCAATGGTCATTAAAAACATTAATAGAGAAGCTGAGGACCTACTTTAAGTAATTGTTATACTTCCAAACGTTTACTCTTTTAAAATCTATGCATACATATATGTACATACATATACACAGCTAAAATTGTGTATGATGAATGTGGTATACCATGAGAGAAGAATAAATAAGTAAGTAAATAAATAAATTTTACAGTTGACAGTTTCATGCATTTATATAATGGCTTTTAGTTACTTTTAATCATCATTATCCTCTTTCACTAGAATCCTTCATCTCACATGTGCCCATTCTACTTTTATGCTTCTCTGTGTGTGTGAGAACCACTGAGTTTAATTAGAGTTTTCTCTTTGAATTCAAACTAAGATGATAAAATGAATTATTGGCACTGGGCTTCAGACATGTTCTGTTGTATTTACAGTTCTAAAATGCAGTGACTGTCATAAAGAACTTTAAAATTCTTTTGATGAGCAGTATTTTGCTGCTTCTTCCATGTGTAGGCAGCTGAAGAACAAAATGAGGCCTTGCTTCTGTTGATGGAAGTACTTACCTATTCCATGCCACCTGCCTTCTCAAGTTCAAGCTTGTGGTCCATTCCTGTGGACAGGTGGTTTCTGAAGAGTCTGAAGAGACTTTCACTAGAGTTGACAAGCATCTGGCCTTGCATTGTTGAATAAGAAAACATTTTCAGTTATCACTGGAACTGCTGTTACACTCTGTCTTGGTGAACAATGCACGTGTCACAAAATATGCAGACAAAAGGATGAAAGTAGGAGCTGAAGGGCTGGCTCAGTTGTTAAGAGCAGTGGGTGCTCCTGCAGAGGACCTAGGTTTGATTCCCAGCACCACATAGTTGCTCACAGCCATCTGTTAACTCCAGTTCCAGGGGATCTGACTTCCTCTTCTGTGCACCGTTCATAAATGGAATGGATCTATAGAGAACAGAAGTAAAGTCAATTACATTAAAATGGGAAAGAACGAATAGAATGGAGAGAACGCATGGCAGTATGACAGGTTGACATTGTTTCAATTGTCTGTGGTAGAAAACCTGGTGTTCCTTTTTCTCTCGTTGCTATGTAGGAATGGTTTTTCTCATTTCTTCTAATATTGCTTGCGTACCGATTATCCTCCAATTTACATCAAGTTCATGATGCTCCTCAAATTCCTGAAATGGATCTGGGACGTGTTGATAGTTTTAATGATTCTAATTATATGATTGCATTTGCCCCTGAGTCTGAAACTATCTATAAGATAATGTACAAAGTGGCATCATCTCCATTCATGAAAGGTATGTTTTGTGGCAGTTCATGCAATAATTTCCTTACTTTCAACATATACAAATTCATTTTTAGGATTTTCTTGAAAAACAAATGTGTTAAATGTTGGCATTTCTAGAGTTGATTAACAACATTGATGGGTATTATTTTTGTGATATCAAGAAGGGTATCTTACTTCGGTAACATATTTGAGCAATTGTACTTCAAAGAGGGTTAAAGTTCTTTATAAAGCATATCAAAATTAGATGAGTCCTGGATTATTTAGATGTATGATTTTGCAAGATTCTGGGGATATTCATTGGCAGTGGCAGCCTGACTTTTTAGTACTTCCAAATATGCTAAAAATAGAGGAAGTGAGTAGCAGTGTCAGAATCCATAGACAGTGTTTACAACAGAAGTAGGTGACAGAGTGTTCTCTGTATTTCAAGATGTAATTGATGGAGGGGGAAGTGCTTAAGGCCCCCAGAGTGGCATGACATCTTTCTTTGGGGTCAGTACAATAGCAAAGAAGTTATGGAACACATGGGGACTCTGAGGAGACTCCCCTTTGAGCTAATACGTATACAGAACATCAACTAAAACAGTTTTAGTAATTGTACTGGTAGGATAGTCTGAGAATACAGTTCTGAGGTGCTCAATATGTGAAGTAGGGGAGATCAAATAGATACCCAGGGAATAGTCTCATTCTCTCCTCTTATGACTTTGAAACCAGCAAGTCTCAGTGTAGAATAAAGGAAAGGCAACAGTCTAGGCTAGGAATTTTGTGGAGTGAGAGTCCTTGTCTTTCTAGATAGCTAAGAAACCATCGGAACTAATAGTTAGGTCAAAAGGACCTGGCAGCCAATTTGGCATATATTGGGCTTCTACTCATGTGATTATTCAGATCTCAACAAATAGATATTTTAAGTCTATATTTTCAGGATGAAGTGGAAAGAAATATCTAACTGATTTTTTTTTATTAGAAGATGATAAAAAAATGAGCTCTTATAGTGAAAAATTTTAAATTAAGAGGAAATAGCAGCATGAACCCCAGGTGACCTATGCTGTTATTACACAACCAGATAGACAATAGAAACCATTGTTGTATAAATGTTTTCTGCTAATAAATAAAAAAAAAACATAGAAATAGACCGTCACAATTTTGAAACTCCCTTTGAGTGGATGGATCTAGTTATTCAGCATTGATAGCAGCTAATAGTCCCCCAAAGAGACCATCAGAAATTAGGAGCTTCTAAGTAGGTAAAAAGGAGGACCCTAAGAGGGTCACACATGAAGGGTCCCAGGAAGGTAAAATAGTTAAGATCTCCTGGGTAAACTGGGAGGAGGGTTAGAAGGGAAGGGATGAGGGATGGGAACAGGAGGGAATGAGATGGCTTACTGGAGGGAGGGATGGAGAGGGGAGCAATGAAGGAGATGTCTTGGGAGAGGGAGCCATTATGGGGTTAGGGAGAAACCTGAGGCTAGGAAAATCCCCAGGAATCCACAAGGATGACCCCAGCTAAGACTCCTAGCAATAATGGAGAGGGTGCCTGAACTTACCTTCCCCTATAACCATATTACTGACTACCCTAATTGTCATCATAAAACCTTCATCAAATAACTGATGGAAGCAGATGCAGTGATCCACAAGCAAGCACTGGGCTGACCTCCTAGACTTCAGTTAAAGAGATGGGAGGAGGGATCACAGGAGCAAGTGAGGTCAAGATCTTGATGGGGAGAACCACAGAGACAGATAACTCAAGCTGGTGGGAGCTCATGGACTCTGGCCTGTCAGCTGGGGAACATGCTTGGGACCAAACTAGGCCCTCTGAATGTGGGTGACAGTTATGTGGCTAGATATTTGGAGAGTCCCTGACAGTGGGACCAGAACTTATCCTGGGAGCATGAACTGGCTTTTTGGAACGCATTCCCTAGGGTGGGATACCTTGCTCAGCCTTGAACAGCGGGTAGGGGCTTGGTCCTGCTTCAACTTAGTATGCCATACTTTGTTGACTCCCTGAGGGAGGCCTTACCCTCTCTGAGGAGTGGATGGGGGGAGGGATGGGAAGATGTGTGGGGGAGGTGAGAGCAGGGCAGGGAGAAGTAGGATTGGTATGTAAAATGAAAAAAAAAACTTTTTTAAAAATAATTTTTATTTTTAAAAAAAAATGATTGGCTTCTAATCTAGCAACACATTACCTCCTGTAGTCTGGCTAAAAGGATCATACCTGAGTCTGATTAAAAGCCTCTAATACAGCTATTGAACCTCAAGAAATCTGCTGCATTACAAGGAACATGTTGAATTGTACCAAGAATATGTGTATGACAAAATCAAGACTGCAAAATTATGAGGGTTATCTGGCCTGGGATAAATAGCAGCCACTGCCACTATATGAGTTAGAACAAATGGTCACTTAAGTAAACAGTATTTAGATTTAACATTTGTATATTACCTTGTCTGTTTGCTCACATGGCACCATTGCCAAACGAAAATAGTATTATTCTCTTATCAGACAGGTCTGTCTGTGTGTGCATTGAAATGGATGGATTAGTATTGCTATTATTTAAAATTGATCATGGTTTAAATTTTTCCCCTCTTTTTTAATTTAATTAATTTTTTTCCATTTGTTTTACATCTTGACTCATCCCAATTGCAGATTCCCCTCCCCCTTCTCCTCCTAATCCCTCCCCTCTCCCCATCCACTCCTCCTCTGTTTCTGTTCAGGAAGGGGCAGGCCTCTCATGGGTGTCAACAAAGCATGGCATGTCAAGTTGAGGTAGGACTAAGCTTCTCCCTTTGTATTAAGGCTGGGCGAGGCTACCCAGTATGAGGAATAGGTTCCCAAAAGCCAATTCAAGCATTAGGGATAGGCCTTGATCCCACTGCTAGGAGTCCCACAAATAGACCAAGCTATACAACTGTCACACATATGTAGAAGGCCTGGGTCGGTCCCATGAAGGTTCCCTACCTGTAGATCCAGAGTCTGTTAGCTCCTCTGAGCCCAGGTTAGTTGTTTCTGTGGGTTTCCTTGTTCATTATGGCTTAAATTATTGGCTAAAATTCTTTAGAGAGATATGAAATATTTTTCAATAAGATTATCTGCCAGGGACTGGATAGATGGTTCAGTGGTAAATACCACTTGTCGCTCTTTGTAGAGGAACTGGGTTTGATTCCCAGCCACACCTTGTGGCTCATAACTATCTATAACTCCAGTTCCAGGGACTTTGAAGCCTTCTGATTTCTTCTGGCACCAGGCACACATATGGCACACACACATACATGCAGGCAAAACATTCATACGGAAGATATATAAATCTTAAAAAAAGAGAGAGTTTGCTATAGAATATTTTCAGTTTGATTAGAACATTAGAAATATCCCGCTTCATTCTAAGTGTGAGTGTATTAGGGAAGAAATAATTTGAACATAAAATTACCTCAATGCACTTAAATCTGGTATGCTGTCATTGGACCACATAGGAATCTTACTGAACTATTATTCCCTTTCTTCACATGGCAGGAAGAAGAATCGTGGCATGTCCTGATGAAAAATGTATGAACGAACTAGACTTGAATTACTCAATAGATGCGGTGAGAGTCATCTTTAAGGACACATTCTCATATCATTTAAAATTTTCTTGGGGTCAGAGGATCCCTCAAGTAAAAGAACACAAAGACCATTCAGGTAACTTTGCCATTAGGAAATATATATTTATGTAGATATTGCTATATGTCATTAGACCCAAGGGGCACATACAGAAAAAGCAAAATGAATGACACAAGCCCCTATGCTAATTTCCAAGTACCAATGGATTAATCTTTATTAAATTAGACCCACATTTTCTAAAAAATATAATTTTATTGGTATATATTCCTTGTATATAGTGATGGATTTAATAAAAACATTCAGTCAAGCCTGTTGTGTACTTTGACCATATTTCCCCCCCACACCCTTTTCTCCTCTCCCCTTTCTATTATCCCCATTCAGGCTTTTTCTACATTCATGTCATTCACTTATATGTATATATGGTTTTATGTATTTATATAAAATCTAGGTTCTATGAATGAGAGGAATATGATCATTTGTCCTGAGTTTGACTCATTTTGTTTAATATGATGAGCTATTGTATTCATTTTCCTTCAAACTACAACAATTCTTTTTCTTTATGGCTGAATAAAACTTCACTGTATAAAAGTGCATCTACTCACCTGTTGGTCGATGCTTAGACAGGCTCTACCTCCAACTAGTGTGAATAGCGCTGCAGTAAACATAGGTGTTCGAGCCTCTCTGTGATATGTAGATCCAGAGTCCTGGCACAAACTGCAGCTACATGGCTTTTTTATACACATAACAGCTCCACTTTGAGTGTTTTTAGGAGCCTCCATGCTTATTTCAAAGTTATACTTTTAAGTTCACTGTTCCACTAAGAACTTACAGCCTTGCCATGAGTCCAAGACCAACCTGAACTATAGAATGAAATCCTGTTTCAAAAAAACAAAACATTACTTATGTTATTTTTTCTGTTCTTTGCTTCATTAAAACCTTCAAGAAATCTTCTCAGTCATTCCCACCCATTTAAAAATAGCTCAGTGTTTTTTTGTGTTAATGAGTTTATTCTTTGTTTGTTTGTTTTTTGGCACAAACAACAGAAGGAAGCAGCCAAAACAAACATTTAAAAATTGAAATAATATAAAATAGTATGAAAAATAATCAAGAGCTCGTCTTTTATTTTTTTCAAGAGCTAATCTTAAAGGATTTTAACAAAGCAATTTTGGTATGCCCTCTTTGGGCATACTCTACAATCTGAACCTATATGCCTTACCACATACTGTCCTATTGTAGATTTTAAACACATTTTGGATAATTACAGATTTGTATTTATCCTATAGCTAAGACTGTCTAGTCACATAATCGTGGTTGTGTCTTCTTTTCTTGAAGCTCCTTGTGAAACAGTGAACAACAAAATAACTTGTAAAAATTCAATCTTCTGGGAGAAAGGCTTTGTGGCCTTTCAAGCTGCCATTAATGCTGGCATCATAGAGGTGAGTATTAAGTTAAAGGAAACTAATTCCACTATATACTGAGTTTTGATAGGTGGAGATGTGGGTTGTCTTATTTTGTAATTTGGTTATTTTTAGCCACTAAGCATAGTATGCTGAACAACTTCTGTATCCAGACTGTAGTGTCAACGTACTGGTGATGTGAAAATATACATAGTATAGGCACTTTTAAGCAGAGATCCTGGTAAGACAGAGGTTGAAATACAGTCATTATAAGGGTTCAGGGTGTATTGTGGGTTAGTAAATCATGTGCTGCATGAACAATAAAACAGGAGCTATGTAGCTGGAGAATTTCTCTTCAGCTTCTGCCAAGTCCCACCAGTCCTGGAGCCCATTTATAAAATAAATACATAGACGCTTATATTATTTACAAACTGTATGGCCATGGCAGGCTTCTAGTTAACTGTCCTTATATCTTAAATTAACCCATTTTTATTAATCTATAAGTTGCCACGTGGCTTGTGGCTTACTGGTACCTTACATCTTGCTTGTCATGGCAGAGACTGGCAGGTCTTTCCCCCCAGCCTTCCACTTCCCAGAATTCTCCTCTCTCCTTGTCCCACCTATACTACCTGCCTGGCCACTGGCCAATCGGTGTTTATTTATACAGAGCGATATCCACAGCAGAGCTACTCTGATAGAAACTCCAGAGAAGATCTAGTTTGAAGTGTTACTCCAGTTAATTTTAAAAACAAGAGTAAAAATTTTTTTTCTACTGGACTTAAAGTAGAACCTTGGACATTCCAAGAACTACATGCCTTCTTACAGTCTGAGGAAAAGAGCCCAGGGTTGTAATTAGATTAACAATAATAATTTGTTCATTGTGGTGTCTTTTTTTAGATCACAACAAATCATTCAGTGATGGAAGAACTCATGTCAGTTATTGGTTCAAATATGAAGATACTACCTTTTATTGGCCAAGGAGGAGTTACAACGGATTTTTTAATTTTCTTCTGTGTTATCTCCTTTTCTTCATTTATATACTATTTATCAATCAACATTACTCAAGAAAGGCAATACATTACAGCATTGATGGCAATGATGGGACTTCGGGAGTCTGCCTTCTGGTAAACTGCATGTCTGTGATACACCAGTCAGCACTTACAAACAGATTAACTTCACTATGGGGACTCCTTAGACTTGTTTATCCCATACCAGACTTGATACTCTAGAAAACTAGGACGTATGAATGTTTGAAATACATGAACTCACACGCTTGGAAACTGGAATTTTCTCTATCTCTTTGACTTAAAGAAAGCCTGAGTTGCTTCCCATCTTCAGGGCACTAACAACACAGAGTTGTTGTTACTCTTAGTTACTAGTTATTATGTTATGTGAACCAACAACTGTGAGAAGTTAAGAGTTTTTTTTATGTAAAATGAAATATGTATTTCAGATACTATGTTAAAAGTGATGATGATTTGACCCCACTTTATCTTGAGCACTGAGCTTTTCTTAATAGAGACAAGAAAGCAGAGGGGTTAGGACAATGACCAACCCAGTGGGAAGCCGTAGGCTGTCTTCATCTCAGCACTTAGTAGCTACCACCTTGGATGTGTTACTCAAACTCTTTCAACTGCAGTTTTCTCTTCTGTGAAGCTCATAGTTCTACTTCTTGTTGACCGCAGGATTAAATAAAATGTACTTAGAGTGCCTTTCACTGAAGTTGAGAAACATGAACACTCTCTAGATGTCAGTTGATGCAAGTGTAGATGACAGTGCATCATGAAAGGACAGTAGATGTAAGTTAAGAAACCAAGGATCCAGTAGTTAGTGACAAGATTTAAAATAAGATTAGCCAAATGACATATTAGAGACAGGCAGAGAGGTAGAAATGAGCACAGAGTCAGAAGGCAGTAATTTGAATGTCAGGTTTGTCTTTCACAAACTGACCATTATTTTCAGTGTTAAAGATGGTGTGGAGAAGCCAGGCGGTGCTGGCACATGCCTTTAATCCCAGCACTCAGGAGGCAGAGCCAGGCAGATCTCTGTGAGTTCAAGGCCAGTCTGGTCTACAGAGCGAGATCCAGGACAGGTACCAAAACTACACAGAGAAACCCTGTCTGGAATAAAACCAAAAAACCAAAAACCAAAACCAAAACAAAACAAAACAAAAAGATGGTATAGAGACTATGCACAGTTATAGGAACATGCTAGGGTCTGAAGAGAAAAACTATTGCCTAGGAAGAATACACATTTTACTGGCTGGCTTGTGCCAAATTTGTTATTTTTTTCCTAAAATAATGTTCACTATACTAAGTGTGGAAGTAAAGAAGATAGAGGCTGGAGAGATGAATCAGCTGTTTAGAGCACATGCGGCTCTTGAGGACCCAAGTGTGCTTCCCAGCATTCCAGTCTGGTAGCTTCCAAGTGCCTGTAACTAGAGGTCAGGGCAGCTCATGCTTCTGGTCTCCACAGGCACACACACATGTGCACATACTCTCCTCCACACCCACCCACAAAGATACACACATACAACATGTAAAATAAAACACATCTTTGAAAAAAGAAAAGAGATGGCAGGTTTGATACAATGCAGATTTTTTTCTTTTGTACCTTTGTGTATTAAAATCATGTCCATAATATTGAAGAGAATTTGTTCATTATATTTTAAAAGATATTGAAAACTATAAAGAGCCAATGGAAGGTAATACATTAAAAAAAATCTAGTGAGGAGGAGTTTAAAAAATATAAGGGACTTTTTTTCCTCCTTGGAGGAAAGACTGATATTTTATTTGAATGAAATTAACAAGTTTATAGAAGGCAGATAGATGAATAGTTTCAGTATACTGTGAAAAGGGCATTATTAAAATTGAACAGGAGAAACAAGACTTCCTGAAGTTGATGGGATTTTCTACTACAAAAGGAAGCTAGCTGTCCATTGTAGATCTATCACCATGTTATATCCACAAAAATACCCAACTAATTTAATTCTTTAATTTTTTTCCCCAGAGAGGAAATTGAAATGTAAGGAAATTAAACAATTGCTTCTTAACATATTTTGTTATAATGTAACAGAGAAAATTTGGACCTAAGTCTGTGGCATTGCTGGACCCTGTGCAGAGCCCCCTTCTGTCTTTGGCATCAGTAGTAAATACCCCTCTTCATACCCACCTGCTTGGCTGTATTCCCCGTGGATATGCTCTGGGCATTCCTGCACTGAATCATCTATGTCCGCAGCTGGCAAACTACTTTTATGCGGGCTGTGAAGTAGGAGGGGTGTCTTCACTTTCAGAGCTGGGAAGAAAATAAAAAGAGCAGCAATCGTTTAGGGGACATAAAAATCGATTGGAAACTCAAATGCCGTTGTCTACAAACATGTTCTCATTGGGATACAGCCACACATTGGGCATAGATTGTCTGTGATTGCTCTTCTGCCGTGATGGCAGCACTGATGGCAACAAAGGTTGTTTGGCTTGCAAAGCCTAAAATGTGGGCAGTGAGTCTCTTTAGTGCCCATGTTGTTTCCATGACTTCCTTATGAAAGAAGTTGAGCAGAACTGAAAAAGCAGCACAGATTCTTCCTTAAACTCTTCCTAAAATCCTTTCTCCATCACACTCATTGTCCAGTTCATGTCCTTCTAACTTTGTACACTTAGCTACGGTCTCAGTTTCACTCCGTTGCTGTGATAAGCAAACAGCTACCCAGGGAAGGAAAGGATTTACTTGGATTATACTTCCCTGGTCAGAGTCCATCACTGAGGGAAGGCTGGACCATAACTCACAATAAGATCTCAGAGGCAGAAACCATGGAAGAATGCTGTTTGCTGGCTCCTACTCTGGCTTGTGTTTAGCTAGCTTTTTATACAGGACCACCTGCCTTAGGAATGTTGCCACCCACAGTGGATGATGCCTTTCTGCATCACTCAATAGGTTCATGCCTCACAGACATGTCACAGACCAAGCTGATCTAGGCAATTCTGCAACTGAGGCTTCTCCCCTCCCAGAAGACTCTAGTTTCTATCAAGTTGACAGTGTTAACTAAGGCAGCTATTTATTATTGTACACATTTACTTGCTTATTGTCTACTTTACTCTATAGAAGATGAGCTTTAAGCTGGACGGTGGTGGCACACGCCTTTAATCCCAGCATCAGGAGGCAGAGCCAGGCAGATCTCTGTGAGTTCAAGGCCAGCCTGGTCTACAGAGGGAGATCCAGGACAGGCACCAAAACTACACAGAGAAACCCTGTATTGAAAACAACAACAAAAGAATATGAGCTTTAAGATGAGGAAGTTTTCTGATTCATTAAGAATTACCCTTTTAAAAGAAACTCTTGATAAATCACACACTTTAAAATCCATTTTCTTAGTAAGTGGATGAATAGAGTGACTGAGTCATAGCATTTGCACTAATCCTGTGTTTTCTGGCCAGGCTTTCCTGGGGTTTGATGTATGCTGGCTTTATCCTTGTCGTGGCTACTTTGATGTCTCTTATTGTGAAATCTGCCCAAGTTGTCGTCTTAACTGGTTTCATGGTGGTGTTCCTTCTTTTTCTCCTTTATGGCCTGTCTTTGGTAAGTTGGTGAGTTCTTCCTGCCCCGCTTCCCTCCCTCCAATCATGCGTCACTAATTGTGTTTCTGCCTTTCCTGTCCTATGCAGTATTTGCACAAGGCACTATCCATGTAGTATCCAACTGAAAATGATGAGACATACTTTCCAAATACTGTACAGGTCAGCTTTCAGTCCCTAGAGCACACACCCAAGAGAATCAGCTAACAAGAAGAAAATGGTTTGGGTTTTTTCCCCCCATAGTTTTGGAGATCTCAGTCCAGGGTTGGTTGACCCTGTTGCTTTGGCCTGTATCTGGGCAGCATATCATGTTAGCAGTTCATGGCCAGGATGTCAGAAAGAGGAAGAGGCTGGGCTTTCACAATCCCCTTTAAGGGTGAACATCCAATGACAGGAAAGCTTCCCACATGCTCCACTTCTTAAACATTCTACCACCCCTCAGTAGTACCTTGGGCTGAAGACTTGAACATGGGTGCCTTTGGATAACACCCAAACATGAATTTCCTTTTAGTGTGCAAGCCATGGTCCTCAGACCACCATACCAGTTAATTTTTTTTCTCCCCTCAGATAACTTTAGCTTTCCTCATGAGTGTGTTGTTAAAGAAACCTTTTCTCACTGGTTTGGCCGTCTTTCTCCTTACCATCTTTTGGGGAAGTCTGGGATTCACAGCATTGTACAAACATCTTCCTGCCTTTATGGAATGGAGCTTGTGTTTCCTTAGCCCCTTTGCCTTCACGACTGGAATGGCCCAGGTAAGAAGTAAGATCATCGTTTTTTTTTTTCATGTTATTAAAATTCATTTTTATTTATTTGGATGTGGGTGTTTGTGTACACATGCACAGGCATGCTGTGACATTAGAGGTCAGAGGACAACTTGGCAGGTGTCAGTTCTCTCCTTCCACCATGAGGGTTGCAGGGGTCAAACTCAGGCACTTTTACCAGCTGAGCTGTCCTTGCTGTCCCACGATTGTATTTATGTACACAACACTCTAAACACATTCCTTCTATGACTTATATAATATGCACCAAACACTAAAGTTGTCTCCTTATTTTTATAGAGAGAGAAATTTAAGGGATAAGGGACATTTTTGTTTTTCTGTCATTTTTTAATATTTTTTTTTGTAATTTTTAACAATTATAATATGATCACATCATTTCTTCCTTTCCTTCTCCTCCTCCCACCTCTTTCCATGCCCCTCCTTTCAAATTCACAGCCTCTTTTTCTTTATTATTGTTACACACACACACACACACACACACACACACACACACACACACACAAATGCATAAAGATATAAATTTAAACTGAATCCTTTTAGTGTTACTTGTATGTATGTGATTTCAGGGCTGACTACTTGATATTGGCTAACCAATTAGGGGGCTCATCCTTTGGGAAGACTCATTCTCTCTCATCATCCTTAGTTGCCTGTAGTTTCTTTGATCAGGGGTGGGGCCCTGTGAGATTTCCCTCTTCTACATCAGTATGCCTATTGATGTTGTCCTTTTTCAGGTCTTATTTAGACATATTTTTGGGGTATAATGAGTGCATTTTCCCTGTCACTTATGGCAGACACACCTCACAGTAATTTTCCTCCTCCTTTGGTTCTTAAAATCTTTCTTCTCTCTCTTCTGTTCCCTAAGCAGTAAGTACAAGTTGTGTTGTATCCATTTCAGTGAAGAAACCCACAATCAGTTGTTGTTTACATTTTGACCAATGTAATTTTCTATAATGGTCTCCATCTGTTGCGAAGAAAAGCATCTTTGATGAGAAGTTAGAGCTGCACGTAACTGTGGGAATAAGGGTAAATATTTAAAATGCAGTTGGGAGCGGTGTTGATTCAGGAAAGTGACAGTTGGAGGTTTTCTGCTGAGATCAATGACCTCACCAGCCCCGAGTAGTTGGCTAGATTTCCTGTACCAGGCATGATTCCCCTCTTGTTGAGTAAGGCTTCAGTCCAATTACAGAGCTGTTGGTTAACACTAAGATATGAATACCGCTATTGCATCTTTAAGGTTGCTTTGCCATGCTGGTCATTGTTGTGGTTAGTAGGCATCACAGCTGGGTAGGACTTTTAGTTGCTTCCCTTTCTTGGCAGCTTTCATACCATTGTCCAGTACTGTGAAAATTAGTCTTCAGGGAGGAGGCTTTCAAGTCAGATCTAGGTCAAATCCTCCCCATCTTGTGTATGAAGTGCATGGTGCTTTTAGCAATAGAGACCTACCTCCAACATCTGGGAGATAGCAGCAATAGCCTGTATTGTTTGGGGAATCTCTTGGACTCCCATAAATGACTTGAAAGGGGGTTTCTTATGACTGGCCCTAAGATTTTTGTTAGTTTATAGCTCTAAATATAGAATGGCATTTGACAGTTGATGTGGCTCAGCTTATACTTTTAACTAAATATTTGTCTGATTTAAGCTTGAGAAACATGAGCCTTAATAGTATCACAAATATTAGAAATTTGAGAATTTGAAAAAAAATTAATTTAATTGGACGTTTCTACATGAAATTAAATCTCTCAAAAAGTTAATTCATGTGAAATCATTGTATGCTATTGAAATTATTCTTCTCTTTTCTGCCCAACTATAAACTACTGGGAGCCATCCCTAATGGTGAACAGGTTCCTAGAGGATGTATGGATTTGGTGAGGGAAGGAGTAACCTAGCCATGATGGTCGGGAGAACCTTGCAGCCTGACTGACTAGCAGCCAGAGTGCTTCTTTATTTATAAAGAATTTAGTAAGCAGGGATAGATTCCTGTTGTTCCAAAACATTGATGATATCATTTTTGGTTTTGGACATGTGTTTCTTGCTCATCTTTTAGTCATCATTAGTAAATTATGACAAAACAGAGTTTTCATTTCTAATCATTTCCCCTCAAGATTTGAAATCATTGATAAACAGAGTTATCATTTTTCCTCATTAACTCATAACCCAGTTTTTAAGACTCTAGAGGCATAGGGCAGCCTGTTCTCAGGCTGGTAGCTCTGGTTGCTTCAAGGATGCTAGACCAAAACAAAATCTTCAAGCCAGCCTAGGCATATTGCCATGTCCCAAGGAATGTATTATTAACTCTTAATGGTCAGAGTGCCCAAGAAAAGTCCTCAGGCCAAAGCTGCTGCAGTTATTATTCAAATTCTGATATAATACAACATTCATATTTTATATCCATCTAAAATTTGTTTATATGTCTAATCCTGGCATTCTTTTGTTCTTTAATCATATGACATCACAGTGACTCTGCATGTGGTAACTTTACTAAGAAAGGGAGGTCTCATTCTTATATCATCTTTCCACTCTATTCTTTGCTCATCAATATAAGTCTCTGTATAGGGCATAAGTAACTTCAGATAATCTAACTTTGTTGCTGTATATGCCAAGTAATTGCCTGAGTGTATAGTGAGAAGAGGCTTGCAATCTGAACTGTGACCAACTCCTCTAGCTCACCAAAACTTTTTGACTTTTTAAAGTTTACTTTGTTTTGAATATCTTGTTCCTGAGTAAGTACAAGGACGAATGTTTCAAGACTGTCTCATAGCCGCATAACGAGACCTCTGGCTTCTTTATGTGTGTCACAACCTCCAAGACATAAGGAAGACCTTGAAGTAGATAAGGATATATATCTCCCTAAAAGCTGGAGGGGTAGTATGATCAGGATTCTCCTGGGGAAGCTTAGAAGCAATACTCCTGGGAGAAGGCATAAATGACGCGTAAGAAAATTTCCATCAATCCAATATCCCCAAATACAAATATTAAAAGTCCCCCCACAGGTGGAGATGGTAACCAAAGGTGGCATGGCGGCTATCCCGAGGCTCAGCTTTGCTGGATCTTTGTCAGGCAGCTGTGCCGGCTTTATGCTTCTGCTGTGCCTATCAGATTAGACTATGCCAACTCACAAACTTTCATTCCTCAAAGTTTTTCACTCTGATATGGAGTGCCCCACTCAGGAACACCTTCACCCTTTATTCCTTTTAATCCTGATGAATTTTTGTATTTGACATGTCTCAAATACCACCTTCCTGGACCTTTTACCTCCTCTGAGGAGAGTTAACCATAGTAGTAGCTGCTATGAATGGCAATAGGCTGAGCTGTATAGAGATATAAATTGTAAATCATTTAACTTTCCCTTTGGTATCTAGCAGAACTAAGACAATAATTATCCATAAAATTTCATTAACCTTTTAAAAACTCTATGCATCTCTTTTTCAGCTTATACATTTGGACTACGATGTGAATTCTCATGTTAATTTGGACTCTCCAAACAACTCATACCTGATCATAGCCATCCTTTTTATGTTGGTTTTGGATGCTTTTCTCTATTTGGTACTGGCATTGTATTTTGACAAAATTTTACTCAGTAAGTAGTAGAATTATTGTAATTTCATACATTTATATTACCTGCATTTACTTAAAGTAACTGTCTATGACAGTGGTTCTCAACCTTTCTAATGCTGTGACCCTTTAATACAGTTTGTCATGTTGTGGTGATCCCCCCACCCAAACCATAACAGTATTTTCATTGCTACTTTATAATTACAATTTTGCTACTGTTATGAATCATAAAGTAAATATCTGATATTTCCAGTGGTCTTAGGTGACCCCTGTGAGAGGGTCATTCGATCCTCAAAGGGGTTGAATTCCACAGGTTGAGAACCACTCGTCTACAATGTATTGAATATAAATGGTATAGCATTTTCTTTTCAAATTTTCTGAAATTATAGGCAACATTTTGAGAATTCCATACCTGTATACAATGAAACATGATCATATCCACTCTCCATTCCACTTCCAACTTCCCCCATGCCCCTCGAAAGATGTTTCCCCTCCTTTATTTTTGTTTTAAATAACCCATTCGTTTCAGTTAGTAGTGCTTCTCTATGCATGGGGGTGGCTCTCCACTGGAGCATGAGAAACCAGTCAGTGACCACACCCCCGTAAATCATGATCCTCCCTTTCCCAGCAACTACGCATTAACACTGCCTCTTCAGAATGGCATGGGGCCTGGGGCTCCTCCATCCCACCTGTGCTGACATTTCGACTGGCTTGGTCTTGTATAGGTCTTATTCAGAAAACTACACCTCATCTTAGCTCATGATTGCAATAGCCACATCATGTCTAGAAGACAGTACTTCATAACACTCCTCCCCATCCTTCAACACTTATGGTCTTTACACCTCTTCTTCCACAACGTTCCCTGAGCCTTGGTGATGGTGGTGTTTATATTGACGTCTCATTTAGGGCTGAACATTCCGCAGCCTCTTACTCTCAGCACTTTATCCAGTTATTTATTGACTGCTCTCCACTGCAAAAAGAAGCTCCTCTGATGAGGGCTGAGTGCAGCCTAGGTCTATGGGTGTGCTGGCTAGTTTTCTGTCAGCTTGATATACTGTGGGCAGTGTTACCCTTGGGCTGATGGGCTTGGGTTCTATAAGAAAACAGTCCAAGGAAGCCCTGGGAATCAAGCCATTAAGCATCACTCTTCCATGGCCTTTGCTTCAGTTTCCATCTCCAGGTTTCTTCCTTGCTTCAGTTCTTGTCCCAAGTTCCCTCAATGATGGACTAATATGTTGTAAGGTAAAACAAACCCTTTCCTCCCCAAGTTACTTTTGGTCGTAGTATTCCAGCAATTGAAACCCTAACTAAGAAAATGGGTATAGACACAAGTATTTAGAAGACAGTTTGACAACATGGCCATTCATCAAAATAACAATACCAGGATTTTCCCTAGGGCCCATGACCTCCAAGTCATAGGTTTTTGACCAGGATTGCAGTACCAGGCATGAAATTTCCTCCTGTGGGGCAGACCTCAAATCCAATTATAAAGTAGCTATTTACCTGCTAATAGCTGTGCCATTATTTCAGTAGATACGTCTTGCTTGCCTTGCTAGTGTTGTAACACACATGGTCCAGTGCTGAGTAAGACCATAGATGTCTTTTCTTCCCTCTGAAACCTGCATCGTACCTTCTGGCACTATGGAAGCTGGCCAGTATGGAGGGAGCTTTTTGAGTAGCTGGGTATTAATTTCTCTATGTCCTTAGCCAAAGTATGTGGTGTCTAGGGTCTTACCATATAGGTAGGGTGGCTGTCTAAAGACAGTGTCAATGCCTTTGTTTTTTTTTTTTTTTTTTTTTTTAAAATCCCTGGGGATTCCCTGACTAATAACTCATAGGAAGATATCTTATGCTTTGTATTTCAATTTTCATTTAATAATTACCCATGTCTTTTGTGGTGACATTGTCTACTCATGCATGGTAATTCCATTTGAACTCTTGACATTAGCTTACTAACTAGTGGGTTTCCATACGGCCCTTTCATAAACCCTTAGTTTTGGTGAACTCACGCATTACTTCCTCCTCCTGCTCTTCTCTCATCCCTGTCTCCCTCCAATCCTTTAGCCCTCCGTATTTCCCTCTTCTTTCATTTTACATGTGTTCTACTATCCTTCTGCTGGTATTTTTTTAGGTTGGGTTGTGAGGTAGCAGAAATATATGTAGCTTTTCTTATCCTCGTCTTTTGGGTTAGCCCCATTTCACTCCCTCATACCTCCCAACCAACGACCCTTCCCTGTTTAAGCCTTTCTACCCTGATAATCCACTTCACCGCTCTCATTTTACCTCTAACCTACTATGCCCCTCCCCTAATGTTTCCCCAAACCCCACCCCTCTCTAGTTTCCTGGCTACTATTTTGCACCAAGTTAAACAAACTAAACAAAACATTTGAAGCTAGGCTCTGCATATGAGAAAGAATATAGGGCATTCCTATGTCTTCCTGAGGTTGAGTTATCTCAGTATAATTTTTTGCAGTTCCATTTGTTTACTTGCAAATTTAATTTTTCTTAGAGCTGAGTAATATTTCATGTTTATATGTACATTTATCCATCACTTTGGTCTTAATAGAATGTTTAAGTTCCTCCTGAAACAAGTCACTCTGCTCTAGAGACTTTTTCTTTTAGTTTACAATGCTGCATTTTTTTTTTCACATTGGAAATACCACATTAGGTGGTATGACGTAAGGTGATAGTGTGGGCTTAGGGTGAGAGTAAAAGAGGTTGATTTGGCATTCTGCACTGAACAGACTGCAATCCTTGAAGTGGTGACTGACCTCATACTTACCTGCCTCCTGTCCATGTAGGCAAGAATGGACATCAACGGTCTCCATTGTTTTTCCTGAAGTCATCTTATTGGCTTCAACACAGAGGAGCTAATCATGTGGTCCTTGAGAATGAAATAGATTCTGAACCTTCACTGGATGACTCATTTGAACCAGTGCCTCCAGAATTCCAGGGAAAAGAAGCCATCAGGTAACAAATAATCACATGGAAGTACAATAGAGAACAGGCCCCAAATCAGGGACCTACCAGGCAAGACAATGATGTACAAAGATTTCCTTCTGAGTCCCTCTGTGCCTACATCCTTTCAGCCCACTGTTCTTACAAAAGGATATTGTTATCCTAGATAGCACTGTATTTTATCCTATATCTGTCATTTATACTTACTAATATCTTTTGGTACAGTAACCACTGTCAACAAATAAGTACTACATCCACACTCTCAGCATCTTCCTTGTCTCTCTTCATGTTTTGCTATGATGTTCTTTTGGTGACAAACAGTGCCACCACCTCTCCCCTATTCTCATACTCTTTCTCTATAATCTGCTTTGTCTCTTTTCACTTACCTTCTTGGTGGATAAGATGAAAACAAAAATATAAGTGATGCAGAAAGGGAGCTAGAGATATTTCAGAAAGACAGGAAGAGATGATCAGACCGTAGGGCACTAATGCCCTGCATCCCCTCCCCCAGAAGCCATGCATGAGCTGTGGTCAGTGCTATGACTTCCAAACAGCTACACATCCCAAAGATCCTTATCTTTATTTGAATTTTGTCTGTAGCCTGCATGATGCTTTGCTTTGAGGTTATATGAAATTAATGCCTGTAGACTGCACAGGATCTGGAACATAGTAGACCTTCAACTCATTGAAAATCTTCTGTATACTTTTTCTTTCTTTAAGACAGGATCTTAGTTTGTAAGCCAGTCTGGCCTGGAACTCACAATGTATCCCAGGCTGGCCTCAGATTCCTAAACTTCCTCCCTTAATTCCAAGTGCTGGGATATGGACATGTGTCACTGCACTTCTACAGACTCTTAAAACCACCTCATCATTTTCTTCTCCTTTCCTCTTCTTCAGAAATTTCAAACATCTTGGGCTCTGCAATTCTTGTTTTCTGTAGGACCAACACTATGTGATAATTAGTGTTGTCATTCCTGCTTTATTACTGAGAACTTGGCCTCTGTGAGTTCAGTATTTGTACCAGAGCTCTAGGTAAATGACACAGATGGGACTTTACTTAGAGTGTTTGACTCCAAAGCTCAAGACTTTCTGCACTGACATGATTCCCTTCACTCACACCATGGGGATCTCTTACCATTGGTTTCTTCTCCAGTCATCTGCTACAATCTGCATGTACAGCTGCATGGAGTCACATGCCAGCTACTCCCTCCACTTATTTTCTATTGAGCTGCAACTTTCAGAGATGCTACATCTCATGGGATGCCCAGGATGCTTCTGACTGTGCCTATGCAAAATAAAGAACCTCCAGGTTTTATCAAACCTCCTCCAATCTCTGTAATTTCCTCAAAACAGTTTTTCTTTTCTGCAGGATCAAAAATCTTAAAAAGGAATATACAGGAAAGCATGGAAAAGTAGAAGCTTTAAGAGGTAATAAAATAAGATTACATTTAACATAGGTGTTTGACTTTGAGACTTGTAAAATTTCAGTAGATGAAGAAGAGATATTACAGACAGCTGGACAAATTTTAAGACTGATTTTATTTTGAAAACTAGTATCCACATACATCTCTGCAGTGAGAAACTGTGAACTGTGGAGACTATAAAATGACTATAGAAGTACTCAATGTAATCTCTTTGAAATAATGTCAGGTCTGGGATTTGACATATATGAAGGCCAGATCACTGCCCTCCTTGGCCATAGTGGAGCTGGGAAAACCACACTGATAAATACACTCTGCGGACTGTCACCCCCAACTACAGGTAAGAGGACACTTATTCAAAGACAAGCTCAAGGGCTAATGAATAAGTTGTGCTTTTCACTAGTTAACTTGCTGTATCATGTCATTAAGACAAACAAATTGGAATTTTCCTTAAATGTTGCACAATATATGCACATGTTGAATTATGTTTCCCCATTAGTAGATACTGTTCTTATGTTTTCATATGTCAGTTGAGAAGCTAAGAAAAGTTTTAGATGTTTCTTTACTTTTATATAATTGCACATATTTGTGAAAATGTTTGCACTTGATACAAATGACTTTATAATTATTCAGTTATTAATTGACATTTCTGTTATATATTAGATGTTATTTTGAACCCCCCTCTCTTGTCTCTATGTGTGTAGTATATGGAGATGTGTGGGTGAGCTTGGTTGGGTGAGGACATGTGGAGGTTGATGCCTTTCTCAATCACTTCTTCACCTAATGGGGTCCTTTGAGTCCAGCTTACAAGACTCCTTCAGGATTCAGATCAGAGACTACATCAAAGTGAAAGGGAACTTGTGATATCTCTAATCTGAGAGTTTACCGAATAATTCACATGCGTGTTTTCCAGTTATGTCTCTTTGTTGTTCTGTTTTCTTCTAATTTTCTTGTGCTAATTGTCTATAAATTCTTAGCTCTAATTCTCTAGTTCCAGCTCCTCCCAACTTCTTGTTCATCTAGCTTAAATACACTTTCTTTCAGGAGGCTTGAAGCAATTACAAGATTCACATCTCATTAGGTTGAGTAATAAGGACAGAGCTATTTGCCATGGCAACACAAAGTTTCAATTTTCAGGACTAAGACTGTGATCAGAGTCTGGTGGCACAGTGCCCAGTTAGATAAGCTTGAGACATAGGTCTTTTATCAGCTGTACTTGGCAAGTGAAGAATTGGCATGATATTTTAGGCTGCTTGTGTTAAGAACCTTGGTTAGACACCTGTGACTTCACCCTAGTTCACTATAAATCTTTTGAAGGGCTTTGATCCAAAAAGGCCAAACATCTGCAGTTTCACTCAAGAATAAAACCTATGAAAGTTCTGCCTGTAATCTGTCCCAACGGCACTTCCTTTGGCCAGTTTGCCCTGCCAGTAAGCCAAGGATGGAGAACAGACCTCTAAATGTCTAACGGTCACATGGAACAATAGATCTAGTTATGATGCATATTCTAGTATACTTTCTATATATCAAAATTACACAGCTAAATGAGAAGTCATCTTCCTGACCATCCTGACAATATGTGTGCCCATCATATTGAGATATAATCATGAGATTACATATACACATTACTTGAAAATGCATGGTAATGGGGAGATATCATAGCTGTTATTGCACAAGTGAAATTACAGATGAAAGCAACAGTTTTCAGTCAGTGATCTGTAAGCTTTGCTGATGGGGTGTCCCATCAGAGAATAATTCCTCTGGTGGGTTGATATCTGAATTACCAATTGCTATAAGCTGTAATTGGGTCACAGCCCACAATAGCTCATGACAATCACTCCTGACATTCACCCTTTTGTTTTAAATTATTTTTTAGTTTAAAAATTCTTTTTATTTTTGGAAATTTTATATATGTGTACAGTGTATCTGGGTCATATCCACCCCACACTTCCACTCTCCAGCACCTCCCTGTCCCACCCCAATTGATTTCCTCTCTTTTTCCCAACTTCAAGCTTCATGTCTTTAAAAAAATACCATAAATTCAAGTAGTGCTATCTATATGCATACGTGTGTGTGTGTGTGTGTGTGTGGTCATCCTTTGGGGCACAGGAAACCTACCCTTAACACACACAGCAAAGTAACTCTGCCTCTCTCAGAAGCCGTTAGCTCTTCAGCTTAAGGTGGGGCACTAGGAGCCCCTCTCCCATCCATGCTGGAAATTTGAAGTCTCTTCATATTGCCTTCATCTTATTCTTTGAGACAAGGTTTTACACTACCGAAGCTCACTGTTTTGACCAGGCTCGGTGATCAATGAGCTCAAAGTGTCTTCCTGTCTCCACCTGTCCTTCCTAGCCATAAGCCTCCAGGTGCATGCTGGCACACTCACACACACTAAAGCTTTATGTGATGCTGGAGATCTAAACCCCAGTTCTCATACCGCATAAGAAACCCTTTACCCTCTGTGTGTTGCAAGCAGGAAAAATATGCTTGAATGAATCTTGTGATTTACCTAATTTACACTTTGTCCTGATGGTAACTCTTTACTTTCTCTGGATAGGTTCCGTCACCATCTATAATCAGACACTTTCAGAAATGGATGACTTGGATGCTGTCACCAAGCTCACTGGAGTTTGTCCACAGTCCAACATACAATTTGGTTTTCTCACCGTGAGAGAAAATCTCAGGCTTTTTGCTAAAATAAAGGGAATTCTGCCACATGAGGTGGAGCAAGAGGTAAATGAACATGTCCACTGTTAGGCAACGATGAAAATGAAATGGGTCACTTGGAAGACGTTGAATATGCTTGTGTTGTCTACATACATCCACTGTCTGAAGTTTGCCACAAAGGGTCTTTATAAAGACAGAAAACTGTGTTTTAAAAGTAAGGTAGTCAGGGTGGTACACACCTGTAATCCCAGCATTTGGGAGGCCAAGGCAGGAATATTGCTGAAGTTTAAGTCAGCCTGGGCTACAGAGGGAGACTTGGTCTCAAAAACAGAACAAACATCTTGGGTTTTAGGCTAAATGTTCTTTGTTTTGTTAGATCCACCGAGTTTTACGGGACTTAGAAATGGAAAATATTCAAGACATTCTTGCTCAGAATTTAAGTGGTGGACAGAAAAGGAAACTGACTTTTGGGATTGCCATTTTAGGAGACCCTCAGGTAAAGTGAACAAAAACCACTCATGAAATCAGATTGGAGACTAAGAAACTATTATATTCGATACATTTGCAAATGGTAAATTTAAGAAAACTTTTAAACACATATACCAATACTTTTACAACTACAGTGTTTTTAGAATCATCTTGTCCCAGAGGGAAAAATGACTCTGTGGCACTTTCTACTGTCCAGGTTTTGCTACTCGATGAGCCAACTGCTGGATTGGATCCACTCTCAAGGCATCGTATATGGAACCTACTGAAAGAGAGGAAACTAGACAGAGTGATTGTCTTCAGTACCCAGTTCATGGATGAGGCCGATATCCTGGCTGGTAACTATAGTTTGTTTTGTTTTTTTTTAATGTTTCAGAGTCAGAAAGTAGGACAAATATGGGTTACAAGCAGGCCCCATAGACACATCTTACTAGCAATAGCCACAGCCAACATAGGAGAATTGCTTTCACCCATTAGAATCTCTGTGTTCCCGATAGAGGGCTTTGTCCCATGGACTGAGTCTTATCCCATCATAGAGAAGTGAAGGTTGTCAAGTATACAGTATTGTCTCAAGCATGCTTTACTCCACATGGATAGATGTCGGCAGGCTTGTAATTCACTATGTACATGCTCAATAACTTTCCTAACTGTGCAGAGAATAAGCAAACATAATTCATCATTTCAGTTACTAGAGTACTTAAGAAGCCTCAGAATGAGTATGTCAATATTCTGGTGTGGCATGCTTCTAAAACGTCATTTGTTTATAGATTTTGATTTTCACATTTATGATCACTGAAAAAAATATCACTCTTTATTAAAATGTATCTTTTTGTTCTTCCCAACCAGACAGGAAGGTGTTTATATCCAGTGGGAGACTGAGGTGTGCAGGCTCTTCTCTGTTCCTGAAGAAGAAATGGGGCATTGGCTATCATCTAAGGTACAGCTCTCAATACTGGAGACAGATGCATGATGAACACACTGGGGACAGGTGTCATTGGTATCAGGTCAAAGTCGATCTACAGCTACAAAGGTGACTTCAAGAGACACGTTAGAACTAACCTATGTGGGCTCTTAGCAAGAACGTAAGATACATGGCATCGTACACACTAAAAATCTACACATTAAAGCAGGTATAAAGAAAGTGTTTGGAAAATGTTTTCATGATACGTTGCTTTCTGAGGATAATTTATTGGTATTTGATCCTTTCTCTCATCCTATTTCAGAGCATGTTTCTTTTCAGGCAGATAATTTCAATACACTATCCTCTCTGATTTCTTTTTTGCCACATTCCTTTTAGGTATCTTTCACTTCAGGATAGTCATATGATTATTATAAATAAATCTTTAAAAATACAATAAAAATAACATCATACTGGAGGTTCAATAGACCCCACAATTACTTTCTTTGATTTCTTAAGCTGGTCAAATCTACAGTACCAGCACTATCCATTATTACAAGTAGATTAAATAATTTCCCTCCAATAAAAGGTATACACATTGGTCTCTGGGAAAGTCTCGATGAAGGTGTTTGTAGTTGTCCTGTTTCTGTCTTATGGAGGATATCTGTTACATCCTACTTCATCACACTCAACTATATATGAACATTACCCATGCATATGTATGTGTCTACGTGTGGGCATGTGCATATGTGCACAGGTGTCCACACAGACCAGATTAGAGCATCAGATACCTGGAGCCAGAGTTACAGGTGATTGTAAGTGGCCAGATGGAGGTGCTCAGAACCAAACCCACATCTTGTGTAAGAGCAGCAATTTCTCTTAACTGCTGATCTATCTGTCCAGTCCATTTACCTGTTCTTGGAGGCTGTTCCTGAATATTTCCTCCTTAATAAATATCCTGTGCTGGAATCCAGAAAGTGCTAATTCAAATGGTTGCTTAATTAATTACTTTGGTCTTGAGTAACTTCATTTGTAAAACAGTAATAATAATACCTATTTTTTAGTTGATGGTAGTTGATGAGTACTTGACAGAGTATAGAGTACTTAACTGAAATAACACAGCTTCACTCTCCCTCACTTCCTCTGAAAATCTCTTGCTTTGCATCATCATACTGCTGCAAGCTATGTTAGGGAAGGGGCTGAATTTCTCCTGCTTGGTGTCTTTGATAATGCTAAGCACAGCACTTCTAAAGCACAGAACAATCTTAAAATTAAATTAGATTTATGTAATCAGTGAAGTGTGATGTTTACACCACTCTGCCATCGCAGTACATTTCAGTAGACATAACGAACAATGGTGTTTCTAAAAACCCCAGTTTTCATAAAGAACTAGGGAGGACAGGGGAATCTATGGTTGATATGTAATATGAATAGAAAATCTCTTAATTAAAAAAGAGTACTACATAGACTATTATCAAAGACTTCAGGTATTACTTGAATAAATTTTGCACAAAATGATAAAATTATCTATCATATATTGAGAATTTACTCCATTAAACACCCAATACTATCTCATAAATACTGTTACAGTCTACCTGTTTAGGTTGATTTAAGATCTGGGTATTATTTTATCTCACAGATAAGAATTCTGATACTCAGAGATGGTGACCAGCTCACCTAGACTCTGGGGCCTGTATAATATGATGTCAATGCCATATTTTTAATGACAACAGATTATCTCCATCTTGCTTTTACCAAGTTCAAGTGATTGCAGAGCTCATGCATAACTGAAAAAGGAGATTTCATTACTGGGTTTTCTTAGTAGATGGTGCTCACATTTACTTTACCCCAGCCAGGATTTGGTCAATTATTTCTTTCCTTCCAATGACAGTTCTTGAATTACCTTAAATGAATCTAGTCTTCCCTTTTACCAGTTACTTTGCTATGTTGTGCAGATTATTTGAATTACATTAGTATCACTGCATCTAGTTCCTCTCTGTAAATTACACAATTTTGTCTTATAAGTATTCATAAAGTGGCAAACATACTACATATGTTTTTAGAGTCAGTGTTAGGCAGAATAACTTTATCTTACTCTTTCTGAATATTAGTTTGCATCTGAATGACATATGTGAGCCAGAGAGTATAACATCACTGGTCAAAAAGCACATCCCTGATGCCAGACTGACTGCACAAAGTGAAGAAAGACTTGTCTATATCCTGCCCCTGGAAAGGACAAACAAATTTCCAGGTAATCCTGAACAAGTTACATTGCTCTTCAGCTTTCTCACGTTCGTAAAGGAAATGGCTGTTATACCTTTATGGGTCCGTCCTGATGGTTAAATTATTATGCAAAACATTTAAGCACATTATTAAATATCTATAATGCATAAAGGGACTGTGTCTGACATGTGGTTACTGTGGTGTTTCTCCAGCTCTAAGATATCAATAAGTAGGACTTGTGAGCATAAGACAAAAAGAATGAGTCCTGTTGTTTCACATCATGATCCAGCCTCACATCAGAATATCAGAAATGGCAGCGTTCTTTCATTTAAGAATCATATCTATTAAGGATCATTTAATCATAACAACAGACATAATAAGAGCACCACATGTGGTTGGGAGGGGTTGGAGAGGAGAGCTGGGGAGTGAATATGATCAAAATATGTTATATTCACCTATGAATTCTCAAAGAATAAATAAAATTTATATATTAATAATGGAAGAGATGAACTCATCTTGGAAGCAGGGACATGATTTAGTCTTAGATATACACACAATGTATTTGAGATAAATATCATTCTGAAGACTTTATGAAGATTGAACAACATGGTTTACTTGACTATCTTTTAAAATGCATTCCAAACTGCTGAATCATTTAGACCAGTGGTTCTCAAACTTCCTAATGCTGTGACCCTTTAATACACTTCTTCATGTTGTGGTGATCTCTAATCATAAAATTATTTTCATTTCTACTTCATAACTGTAATTTTGCTACTGTTATAAATTGTAGTGTAAATCTAATATGCAGGATATCTGATCTTTGACCCTTGTTGGGTCAACACCCACAGGTTGAGAACCACTGATTTAGATACCAACTGAAGAGTGAATTTAAGAAAGTAGGAGCACTTATCTATTTTTCTTTAGCATATAATTAAGATAGCTTCAATTCCCAACATCATTTTAAAATTCTCAAAATGGCCTGCTAATCTTTCACATGGATGTACCCTATATCAGTGTCTCTGAGTAATTCTCATACCAGGTTAAGAAGAAAAAGGAGGAAGAAAGGTGTGGGAAGCCAGCTCCCACCATTTGAAGAGTTCTTAGGAGGAGGAGAGAGGGATAAGAAATATCAGGTAGAAAGAGGCTTAGAGGATGAGAAGAAAGACAGAGACACAGGATAGCCTTGGGAGGGCCTGGAACACTATCCAACTGCCTCTTCCATTTATTCGAAGGGGCTTTTTATAACAGTGCCAAGGGGTGGGGTAAAAGGCCTCTCCCTTGCAAGATCAAAGCACACCACACAGCCAAGTGTAGACCCTTCCAAATACCTGGCAACCACACCCATGGCCAAATCATTTCCTTATACAGCCCTGCTGGGTAAAGCAAGCTCAGATTCTCTGACCCTGAGTAATTTCTCACTAGAGAGCCTCTGTGGGCCACCACAGGAAGGGAGAGAGGAAAGGAGAGATAAAGAGAGAGGAGGGGTAGGTGAGAGAGAGAGAATGTAAGTGAACAGAATGTCTTTCAGGGGAAGCACAAAGGTACGCTACGTCCTTTGTCCTTTCTTTAATTTGTACTTTTCAGAGTTCACGGGAATTACTTATTTCTGTAAGCATCAGTGTTTTCACGTTGGTTATTGTGGTGGTTTGAAAGAAAATGGCCCCCAAAGGGAGTGGCACTATTAGCAGATGTGGCTTTGTTGGAGTAGGTGTGGCCTTGTTGTAGGAAGTGTGTCACTGTGGAGGTGGGCTTTGAGGTTTCCTATATGTTCAAGCCATGCCCAATCTCAGAGACCACTTCCTGTTGCCTGCAAGCCAAGATGTAGGACACTTGGCTACCTCTCCAGCACCATGTCTGCCTGCTTGCCTCCATGTCACATCATAACGACAACGGACTAAACATCTGAAAATGTAAGCCACTGCAATGAAATGTTTTCCCTTTATAAGAGTTGCTGTGGTCTTGGTATCTCTTCACAGCAACAGAAACCCTAACTGAGACAGTTATTATAGTTTCTTAACTAATCTTAGCCTGAAAGAATAAATTTTTATTCTCTTGATACTAATCTTTGATCAGAGCTTAGAATTAACTCCCCCGCCCCCGCCCCACCATAAGAGAATTTAAAATAGAATGAAAGGGGTTAGAGAGAGGGCTCAGCAATTGAGAGTACTCGTCACTACTCTTCCAGGGGCCCCACGTTCACTTCCTAGCACCCAGGTCAGGCAGCTCACAGCTACCTGTAGCTCCAGCTGTAGGAGAACTCCTCGGGACCCCATGGTCTCTCTCGTCTCTGTCTCTCTCTGTCTCTGTCTCTCTCTCTCTCTCTCACACACACACACATACACACACCTAAAATTTTGAAATTTAAAAATACATAACATTTTTTATGTATATGAGTGCTTTACCCACCTGCATACCTGTGCACCATGTGTATGCATGATGTCCCTGGAAGCCAGAAAAGGGCCTCAGGTCCCCCAGACCTGGGGTTATAGGTGGTTGTGAGCTGTCATGTGGGTGCTGGGAACAGAATCTGGGGGCTCTGCAAGAGCAGCATGTACTCTTAACTACTTAATCATCTCTTCAGCCTTTGGAATTAAAAAGTTTTAAACACATCAATCTTTTAAAAAAAACTGAGTAGTTTTCTAAGTATGGAAGCATAAATATTTCTGTTATACTTGGATACTGAAGAAACCGTGGAAACTAATATATTCTATAGTTATGTTTTATAAATTAAGTGACCATTGATATCAGTTTTTGATAAAAGTACATGTAGCTTATCAATATTTTCTCACTTTGAAAGATATTATTTACTGCCTTGTTATAAGTTATACTGTAATCTACTATGTGCCTACTTTTAGACCTTTACCGGGATCTTGATAGGTGTTCTAACCAAGGCATTGAGAATTATGGTGTTTCCATGACAACTCTGAATGAAGTGTTCCTGAAATTAGAAGGGAAGTCAATGGTTGATGAATCAGGTAAGAGAGAAGATGCAGAAAGGAGGGGAGCTTTGAGTAAGATGATATGCATGCCTTTCTTTGTTGGTACTAGCCTTGGGAAAAAAAGTAGAGAAGAAATATAGACTTAGAGGAGATGGCAATGTACCACACTAGGTCCACATAGAATAGATAATAAAAATGAGGTGTCCTATTATATGAATATAAAAGGCTGTGGGCGAGGGAAAATTAGAGACTATGGTGAAAAAATGAATTCATTCATTTTTGAGACAGTCTCATTGAGTAGCTCTGGCTGCTTGGAGCTTGCCATGCAAATCATGCTGGCCTTGAACTCACAGAGATCTACTTGGTTCTGCCTGCCAAGTGCTTGGTTTAAAGGCAGATACTCCCACACTCATCATACACTTTTATTTTTCAGTATCATGCTAGGCATGAGCTATGCTACTGTCTTTTACCCAGTACTTAATGTGTACACATTTTATAATTTTCTAGAAATCTCATTTTTCCAAGGTTTCTAATAAAAAGAAGCAAAGTTTTATCTAGGTTTTATAATGTGGCTGTATCAAAAATGTCATGTCTATCATCCTTATGTTCTTGAAGGGAGAGGAGGCTTCTGCAAGTATTATCTTCGTTAATTTGTCCAGAAACACCAAGGTGGTTTATTTCTTGTAACAAGGACACCTTTGCATGGGTTTACTTTCATGGATTTCCTAGAATATGTCATAGAAAGCTGCATATGCCTTTTAAAAAATTATAATATTTCTTTTTATTGCCTCAAATTGTTTTGCTTCTCTCTCATTTCCTCAGTATTTGCTTTAAGTTAGCCGTGAATTAGAATACATATTTGCTCACAACACTAATGCTGGAATTTCCTGTTGAGTAAATGGTTCTGGGAAAAGTTAAGCAATGCACAGTAAGCTGTGCCTTATAGGTGACTGATCTTACATTGCAGATGTTGGAATCTGTGGGCACTTACAAAGTGGAGGGGCAAAAGACATGGGAAGCCTTGTTGAGCTGGAGCGAGTCGTGTCCTCCCTAGAGTCATCAGGAAACACAATCAGTGGCATGGCACTGTGGAGGCAGCAGCTCTGTGCAGTTGCCAAGGTTCGATTCCTCAAGCTCAAGAATGAAAGAAAAAGCCTAATGACCATGTGAGTCTCCAAATTGGTTGAGAGCACAATGTAAAACGTAGATCAAATAAATTGCAGTAATTGTACATAGTTGTAACACGAATTTTAAAAGGTCTTATTAATAAAAAACCTGGAGCCAGATATTGGGGTGAAAACTGAGAGATCAGAGGAATAGAACAAGCCAAGCCACAAGTTCTTACCACTAGGAAATACTCAGCCCAAGAGAGAGCTACTTCCTGTATACTCATGCCTATATACCTTTCTATGCCCTGCCATCTTACTTCCTCTCTCCACCCAGCTACATCACTTCCTCTCCCCCACTCTATCATTTCCTGTCTGTCTGTCCAGACCTCCAGACCTCTATGGTTAACTAGTGCTGGGATTAAAGGTGTATGCCACCATGCCTGGCTCTGTTCTCAGTGTGGCCTTGAACTCTCAGAGATCTGGATGAATCTCTGCCTCCTGAATGCTAGGATTAAAAGTGTGTGCTACCACTGCTGACCTCTATGTTTAATATAGTGGCTGGCTTTTTCCTCTGATTCTCAGATAAGTTTTGTTGGGGTGCACAAATAAAATAGCACCACACATAGTCTTCTAAATGTTTTGTTTGAAACACCTGCTCTTGTGAATATGTAGTCAAAATATATAAAGTTTGAGATTATTGTAATTGCCCTTTTTTTCCCTTACCAAAGACTGCTTTCTCTGTTTTCCTAAGACATCAAAATCTCTTAGTATTTTCCATAGAATGAGGTGGGGAAAGGGACGGGAGGTCAGAGGAAGATGATATGTAGATGTATAGATATACAAATAGGCAGATAGATACATAGACAGACAAATAGGTAGGTAGATAGATAGGCAGGTAGGTAGGTAGATAGATAGATAGATAGATAGATAGATAGATAGATAGATAGATAGATAGATAGAAAGATAGATAGATAGATAGAAAGAAAGATAGAAGTTGATTTTAAGGAATTTTCTTGTACTACTATGTGGATTAGAAACTGAAATTCATAGGAGAGATTAGCAGTCTGAAAACTCAGGTTAGTGTTAATGTTCCTGCCAACAGGTTGGGCACTGAGACTCTGTGCCTCTCTTATTTAACTTCTCAGTGGTATCTAGTACCTGTTGTAAAGACCAAACCCTTGCAGCTTCCACCTCATTGGTAAGTGCTGCCTCCTGGTATAAATCTAACCACTCTCAGGAGACTTCTTTACTCAACTATTTGTAAGCACTCCTACACATAATCCTATTGTCTAAAGTTTGCACATATATTAAAATGAATCAGACATAAGTCTTTGTATTATCTTTCTATTACTGTAATGGAACACCCAAGATGATGCACTTATGAAGAGGAAAGCTGTTCTGCTTCACAGCCACGTAGGTTCCTATCCAAGACCAGGGTGCCCCAAACATCTGAATTCCAACAGTTCTATTTAAGGACATACATCAGTAACCTAACTTTCATACTTCTTCAGTCTATCCTCTGGCTCTTATGTACTTCCCACATCCTGTGTAATGCTTCCTGAGTGTTAGAGGGGATGCTCTCAGTGACCTGTTTGGGGCTGGGCACACATCCTCTGCTTATTTTCTGCATCCTAGGCAGCCATGAGTCTCTACATTCACCATTGTTCATTGTAAGGAAGGGCTTCTCTGATTAGGCTAAGTAAGAGCTGCTTTTGTCTGCAGATATAAACAGTTGTTTAGAAGGCAGTTGTCTGCTATGCCAGTTTAGTTAACCATTAGGAATATGCTTTCCATGCGGGCTTTCTATCTCTCCAGACCTGAGTTGTTAGACAAGTTGACAGTGCCAGATATTTGTCCCCATTCCTTTTTCTTCCAGTAATTTCAGAGTATTGAGTCTCACATGAGATTTTAGTATGCCTGTAATCCCAATACTCATTAAGAGCAGAAGGATCAGAAGTTCTAGGTCATCACAAATTCAAGGCCCTCCTGGACTACACAAGACCCCATCTAACACAAATCAGAGTCAGCATCAGCAGAGTTAGAAGGCTCAAAGAAAATGTCAAAAGCAGAAGTGCGTAGTTAAGACCAAAGCTGTGTCATTTCATTTTAGAAAGAAGAAGGAGGAAGCAACATGATTTGAACATTCCCTTTGCCCGTGTTTTATCACTGTCCATCATCTACTGAAACATAGAGCCAGCCCCATGAAAGTGGCTAGAGATTATTAACTCTTGCTATTTAATATTTCTCTTCTTCCACATTAGGTTATTGCTGTTTGGTATTAGCTTTCTTCCTCAACTTTTGGAACATCTGTTCTATGAGCTATACCATGAAAGTTACTCATGGGGATTGTCTCCAAGTATGTATTTCCTTTCTCCAGGACAGCCTCCACAGGATCCTCTGACCCACCTACTGGTCATCAATAGAACAGGTAAGCTCTAACATTGAAACACATTTTTTTTTTGGTGGGAGATGGCCTGAAAAACATAAAACATGAAGAAAAGAATGATTTCTGTGTAGTAAAAAAATATTTATAAGGCCAAACAGAAAATTAATTAAAAAATAAAAACCAAAATTTAGTTTGTTTTAGAAATTCTTTCTTTCTTTCTTTTTTTTTGGTTTTTCAAGACAGGGTTTCTCTGTGTAGCTTTGCGCCTTTCTTGGAACTCACTTGGTAGCCCAGGCTGGCCTCGAACTCACAGAGATCCGCCTGGCTCTGCCTCCCGAGTGCTGGGATTAAAGGTGTATGCCAACACTGCCTGGCTCTTTTTTTTTTTTTTTTTTTTAAGTTTACTTGAACTCTAAGGCTTTTGCCAAAACAACCAAAGGGACTTTAGAAGGCAAATCATTAACTGGTCTTTGAGATCTTACTGTATCATTTTGTAATTCCCTGTATTCAGCTGGGCTCTGTGAACAAAATGCTCCATATTTATAAGAAGATCAAAACTTATAGCATCAAAGACCACACTGCTGGTTTGGCTAATTGGGGTTTGTTTGTATTGTTAATTTATGGTGTTGGGCACTGAACCCAGGGTCTCATGCATTTTAGGAAGTGTAGCTGGAAGTTTTCCAGTGTCCTGCCCAGTCCTGACAACTCTCTGTTACCCACAGTCCTGCAGCAGCTTATAAAATAATCATTCAAAGGTTTATATTTATTTTAACTGCTTGGCCATTAGCTCAGGCTTAATACTGACTCACTCTTACACTTAAATTAGCCTATACTTCTTATCTATGTTTAGCCACATAGCTTGGTACCTTTTCTCAGTTCTGCATTGTCATCTTGCTTCCTCTGTGTCTGGCTGGTGACTCCTGACTCAGCCCTTCCTCTTCCCAGAATTCTCCTCATCTGCTTATCCTGCCTATACTTCCTGCCTGGCTACTGGCCAATCAGCATTTTATTTATCAACCAATCAGAGCAACACACATTCACAGCATACAGAATGACATTCCACAGCACTTCCCCTTTTTTGTCTAATGAAAAAGGAAGGTTTTTACTTTAACGTAGTAAAATTACATATAATAGAACAGTTATCAAGCAAGAATTACAGTTATAATATCTAGTCTATTTGTATTTGGCAAAATTAAAGAAAATACTCTATCTTATATTTGTGAGTCTAAAGTTTCATATCTATTTTATCTTTTATGATAACCAAGGAAAATTATAATTATAACTATTTAGTCTTTAACTACATCAAAGACCCCAGAAGGATATAATATTACATAAGTAAACAGGAAATGCATTGTAAGCAACTTCTAAAATTCTGGAAATGACAGAGACAGCTTCCTGCATGGACAGTCATCCAAAGTTCCTCTGCAACGTTGGAGCATCCATCTTCAGCCCATAGGCCTAGTCTATCAGTCACTTTTTCCTGTGTCCTGTCGAATGTTTGGCAGTTTTCTCTGTGAAGCAGAAACCTGAAGGACCATTTCACCTTGTTTAGGCAAATTTAGCGGTCACCTTCCTATGAGTGCTGCATGTCTAGTTTATATAACATCCTGTCAAGCAGTCCAGGCAAGAGCAATTTCTTGCTTAAATGTCCATTTTGTACCAAGAAGAAGATAAACCACATATAGAGTGTCTTTGATGCCCATCTTTCTCTTTGAAGTAAATTGGTGCTGCAAGGAACAGCTGTGTCTCATTGTCTAGGAAAGTCTAAGTTTTTAAAACATTTTAAATGCCATATTCTGTAGGTCTTCGAAGTGTTTGAAGATTACCTACCTAAGTGAAATATATCAATGTATACCTAGAAAACTTAACATGATTATAAGTTTATCATAGATGACTAATTATTAATCTGTATTTCTCAACTATACACTAAAATTTCAAATGAGTTGCCAAACAAAATAATTTAAAGAAGAGTGTAAGTATACATACAGTATAACAAAATTAATTTTAAATTTTTATCAATAAACTAAAATCCATAGCATTGTAGAATATTTCAAACAAGTTGTTGCTCTTTAAAAGTAGGTTCAATAATCTACCCTTTCATCCTATCATACTATCCCCTTTTCTTCTTTAAAAAGAGATTGTATTTATAATCAATCCTCTTTAAATAAAAATGGAGTGACACTCCTAGAAATTATACAACACTAGAAATATTAATAAATTTTAGGCTATATGTAGAGGATCTTTATTATATACATGTCAACATAATGGATTTTTGTACTCAACTCTAATTCTGCCTTCTAAGGGTATTTATAAGTAGTAATAGCATGTGTTAAGTTATGTCATTTAATTTTTTTGTCGCTTTTTATACTAATTGACTTATATTTGCTTCTTTTGATTTTTGCATTCATGGTAGGTTCAAGAATTGATAACTTTGTACATTCACTAAGACAGCAGAACATAGCATTAGACATAGATGTCCTGGGAACCAGAAATGGCACAGAAGAGGCACTATACAATGGTGCTATTACTGTGTTGGGTGATGGAAAGGTATGTTAGACTCTGATGACGGTATTTTACCAAAGACAGATTGTGGAGGTACAATTTGAAGAACTCAAATTAACTGACTTGATACAAACAAATTATTTCCCATTTTCATAGGAGAAGCTGAGCTGTAATTATTTGCTTACTATCTCCCACATAACTACCAAGGACTTTAACAATAATTTAAAAATTGTATCAATTAAATTCTGCCTCATTAATTATTTTAAATTGTATTCTCAGTGGAGCTGAGAATAACTGCTCAGTTAGATTTAGCCTTGAATCTGCAGTCTGCTGCATTTCCATACTGCTCATTCATTTATATCACTTGCCTAAATCTTGAAGGAGTTTTAAAAATGTTTTAATTAATTCTTTGAGAATTTCATCTATCTATCTATCTATCTATCTATCTATCTATCTATCTATCTATCTGTCTATCCATCCATCCACCAAGTTCAGTTTGAATTGCCCAACTACTCTTGGGTATAATTGCCTGCCTTAGAGTGTGATTGACTTACTAGACATCACACCCTTAAAGAAAACTGATTTTCCCTATCCCAGAAGCTATCAAATGCCAATAGCTCTTCAACTAGGAGTGGAACTTTGTGCCTACTTCTCCCACACCATGCTGAGATTTCTTCTGGCTTGAATTTGTACAGATCTTGTGCATGTTGTCACAACAACTGTGAGTTCATATGTAATTGACCTGTTGTGTTCAGAAAACACCTTTTCCTTGTAGTAATCCTTCACCTCTGGCTCTTAAAGTCTTTATTCCTTGAAGATTCCTCAGCCCTTTGGAGAACATATCTAATAAAGATGTCTCATGTAGGGCTGAGAACTCCACAGTCTCTTGTTCTCTGCACATTGACCACTTGAGGATCTCTGTTAATTTCCACCCACTGCAAGAAGCTTCCCTAATAAGGGTTTGAGAGATGCACTAATTTATGGGTACAGCAATAAATCATTAAGGGTCTGTTTAATACTATGTTCATTTAGCACAGTGGTTCTCAACCTTCCTAATGATGTGACCCTTTAATATAGTTCCTCTTCTTGTGGTGACCCCCAACCATAAAATTATTTTGTTACTATTTCATAACTGTAATTTTGCTACTGCTATAAATTATAGTGTAAATATCTGATATGCAACCCCCAAAGGGGTCATGACATACAGGTTGAAAACCTCTGATTTGGCAGAATAATAGTAATAGATTCCTTCCTAGGGCCTGATATCTATTTAGTCACAGGTTCTTGTTCCCAATAACAGTGCCAGGCCAGAGCTCCATCTCATGGAGTGGGCCTTAAATCCAACCAGAGTGGTTGGTAATCCCATAACATTCATGCCACTATTGCTACTGAAAATGACTTTATTTAATTTTGTGAGATTCTGGGCACAACTAGTCAAGTGACTGATGTTTGGGGGTAGTGGTGTAGAAATCCATATAAAAGTGATAAATTCTTTAAGTATATTGGGAAGTAAATAACATAGTCAGTGGGAATGTTGCCTTTCTGCCCTTGTCTTACTATATTATCAGTGATTTCAATAATTTTCAAACATAAAATGCCATTTAATTATTTTGTTACTATATCATTCTGTAATTAAGTTATGTAATTAGGTCTGAGAATTAAGAAATATTCATTATATTTTAGGATCTCAGGTTTTCAATAGCATGTAACACCAAAAGACTAAACTGCTTTCCTGTCCTCATGGATATTATTAGCAATGGGCTGCTTGGAATCTTTAATTCTTCAGGACGAATTCAGACTGACAGAAGCACATTTTTTGAAGTAAGTATATGAAGACCTTGGACGGTTTTAAGAAAGTCCTTGTAATGCAAGAAATAATGTCATCTCAGTTTTGATGAACCTGATGATCTTATATTTTATACATAAATAATATATATTCCTGCATGACTTAGCTGTGAATATAAAACAATATAAACAGTATGGTTTGGGGGCATTGAGACAACAAGAAGTACTATTAATTGGAAAATCTTTGGTTTTCCATTTTTTTTTTTTGCAGCCCTTGATAGTGGGGCATAGTTGATAGCAAAAGTTTTTCAATATTTGACTATGTGTCCTTCTTTAAAAAAACAACTGATTTTTGTAGTCTTTAACACACTAATTAACAAAATGTACAAATAAAATGTCACCACAAAAGTTTCTGTTGAGATAAATGTGGTAAGGTGTGCACCCGACTAACTTGGTTAAGGTAGTACAAAGCTAAGCAATGAGGCATGAGTATGTAGGTAATCTGCTCAGTGAATTACAGTTCTGGTCATTATTGCTGTTAATACTATTTCACTTGGAGATGCATTAAGAGAATCTTTCAATATAGAATTTCCACTCTTGACCAGATTAGGGTGATTATAAGTGGGAACATGGGAATAGTTTTTGATTATTTTAAAGGTAACTATTATATAAAATTTCAAACACCTTAATAGAGAATTTTATAACCTCCTACATTGATAAGCCAACTTCAGCTATTATAAAAAACATAGGCTTAAGAGTATTTGAATTAAATTTAAGGTCGTATCATTGTATCTCTAATATTTCAGTGTATAAATCTGTTAAAGGAAGGAATTGTTGTGGTTGATGAGGCAGCGCAGTGGATAGAAGGTGCTTGTTGCCAAGCCTGATGTCCTGAGTTCAACCCCCAAGACCTACATGGCAGAAAAAGAGAACTGACTCTTGAAAGTTGTTCCCTGCACACAAACATGCACGTGTGTGCGCGCGCGCACACACACACACACATGCTTTTTAAAAGAATCATTTATGAACAGCTATAATATCCTTATCACATATAAAAGTAGCTTCTCAATGATATCAATACCCCTTTTCTTTGATTTTCTTATGTAAAAGATGTTGTCCATCTGTGTTTACATTCTCTAACAGTATCTAGGTTGGGGAAAGGATTGTAGTTGAGTCATCATTTTACCTTACTGTGTTGAATTTCTTTTGTCTTAGAATGTGATACTATGAGCATATTCCATTGTTTTTAAAATCACCTTTTGTTATTAAGAATGTGCCTGCTCTTGGGACTCTCTTCCTCCTGTTGGTTTACCTTGTGCAACTTTGATATGATAGTTTTTGTTTCATCTCATTATATTCCATTTTTCCATGCCTGATTGTCACCTCTTAGAAGCTTGTTCTTTCCTAATGGGAAACAGAAAGGGAATGGATCCAGAGGGGAGGGATGGTAGGGAGGAACTGGGAGAAGCAGAGGGAAGAGAAACTATAATCAGGATATGTTGTATGAGAAAAGAATCCGTTTTCAATAAAAGAAAAAAGAAATCATGCTGCACTGCTAAGTTGTGGTGTGAGACATGGGTAAGAGATGGAGACTGTGTGTTGCTCCTTCATTTCCTTTGCAAAAGTTTGACATGTTGGATTAGAAAAGGAAATGTGGCTCAGCCCTAAATGCCTGCATTCCTTTTCCTTCTGAGATGGCTGTGGGCTTTTTGTTATATATATATATATATATATATATATATATATATATCTTTAAGTATCTTGTTGAGCATGGTACCACAGCGTTTGATCTTGGCACTCAGAAGGTGCAGGGGGCTCACTGCTTTAATGTCAGTCTAGGCTATATCATGAGACTTTGTCTCAAATAGTTAATGATAGAAATAAAATGTCTTAGCAACAAAAAACTGCTAGCTACTAGCTCAGGTGACTTTGAATTTATACATAGATAAATTTAGAATGTGGTCATAAATTACACTAGTATTAGTAGTAGTAGTGATTGCAGGTTCTCCTTCAAGATGCATGACTTTACTAGCCCAGGGTAGTTGGCTAAGTTTCTTGTACCAGGAATGATTTCCGTTTTGTTGAGCAGGGCTTTAAGTCCAATTAGACAGCTGTTGGTTACCAACAAGATAAGAGTCATGTTGGTCATTGTTTTAGTTCATAGGCATCATAGATGGTAGGGCTATTGACCTCTACCACACTGGGTTCCTTTAGAAATCACATGGGGAAAAAAGGGGGGGGGGAAGAAATCACATGGAACCTTCTGGTATCATGAAAGCTTGTCCTCAGGGAGGAGCTTTCACATGAATTATTTTCTAACATTCATGTACTTAAAACTTTCTACCTGAAAACATTTAAATTTGATACTTTTGCTTATCCAGAAGCAGAGGAATAACTCTTTATAAATGTTGAACTGAGCTACTTTGACACAAGTTTCGAAGATTAGAAAAAATATCCTCTCCATTGGTGGTCCAAGAATATGTATTATTTAATAAGTTTTTTTTGTCTGTGTGTGTAGAAAGAGATATAGTTAAATGTAGATATAGATATACATGCTATTGATGTGTGGAATGCTGTAATCTCTGAGTCAGAGTCTGGAACTTCATGAGACTTTGGGAAGGGCTTTGAGGATTATTTATTTGGTTGATATGGTGAAGACAGTATAAATGAATCTGAGACCTGGTTTCTATCTGCTCACCAAGTTTGCATAATTTTAGGAGCATATGTTTTATGAGCATGGATACATGAGCAACGCATTCTTCTGGATACCATTGGCTGCCAGTCTCACTCCTTACATCGCAATGAGCAGCATCAATGACCACAAAGTAAGAAGCATTAAAGTCTTCAGATTTTTTTTTTTTGCCCTGAAAAATTTCCTTTGAATGTTGTGCACATAGATTTGCATGCAGGTAGTGAATCTACTGTATGTGTTTATTGCAATGTATAACCAATCATTTCAATGATAGGTTGTCAAAATATGAGTAAAATACATTTTTCTTAAACAGGGAAATGCCACCAGCTAGTATTAAAGACAACTTTTAAGTATGTACCACTTAGTCTCATTAATAGACAACTACCAACAGACATAGCCACACTCTCACTTGGAAATGAAATTACTCAGTTAAATAGTACAGATCCAATCACGACAGTATTTTGACTATTCTTGAAAAAAATATTCCTCTTTAACTTAAATTTGTGATGTTTTCATATAAAATTCCAGAAGGGTTTGTCAGTCTTTGTGCCTCCCCGGTACTCCCAGTGCCCATAATGAACCCCTTCCCCTCTTCACGGTGTTGACACCGGCACCAGGTGCTGGTTTTGTCACACGGAACCATGTGAGTGCCCAGGAGATGTGTTTATGGACTGGAGTTAATTTTAGTTTCTTCTGCTCTTAACTCTTCAGTTTTCAGGCTGAATACATTTTAAAAGCTGTTTATTCACAGACTTGCCTTAGTTTGTCACTGATGAACTGCATGATGACTACACCTGGGTTACAGCGGGTTCCCATGAGGAATCGGTGAAGTAATACTTAGTGTGTTTGATGTCTAAATATATAAAGAGTGATGATTGTCCTACAGGTTTTACAGCAGTCAGGGAAAAATGATCCACCAAGAGACAAGAATGGAACTCTCCTCAGCCTGATTTTATTGTAACCGACTCTGGGTCAGGACTTCCAGAGTCTGACCCAGATCATTTTACTTCAGCCATATCCAAGCACAGCACAATTTTTGAAAAAAAAGTATTCAGATAACAATTAACCCAGGCCCAAGTGCACAATTTAAAACATGTTTGCATTGAGATTCCTTACAAAATACGTCTGGCTTCTTTCAGAAGAATGGGTACTGTTGACTCAGAGATAGCGCCGAAGATTTAGGGTGAATGACTGAGGTAAACAGTCATTTTTAAACATGAGGTGAATGCCTGTGGGATTCAGGATTGACCTGGCCCTAAGATAACACAGAAGTCACTTAGGCTGTTGTACAGCACAAATGACATCATTTTTAAGAGTGGGTTTTATGGTCTAAAAGCAATGCTCATGGTTTAGGGAAAAAGGTCTTGGATAAGAAAAAACATAAATTTCTGAGAGAAAAGGCAGAGGCTGTCTCATCAAAAAGCAAAGATCACCACCAGGTTGTAAAGCTATGTCATTCCCGGTAGTCCAGGAAGAGTAGCTGTGCATCTCATTATTCTCTTCAACAAGAGATAAGCTGTGTGTTTAACTTCCCTGGCTTTTCCAGTGCTTATCTGTGTGCACAAAGCCTTCTTGCTCTCTACAATAGAGTTCAGTGTGAGGGTCCCTTTTCACTACTCTCAAAATTATCAATGTCCACATATATCACAAGCCAGCTAATATTTCCATAGAGATGAGAAATAGATATTTCAAATTTGAACAAAAAGGAAAAGTTTTCCTGGGTAGATCTGTCATCTTTAACCTTTTTCACCTCAGTAATTCTTATTAATAATCTACATTTGCTCTGGGGTAAAACTCTGGATTTACCTTTCTTTCCTTATTCCTTGTACACTTCATCAGTAATTCCTTTATGTTCTGTCCCAATGATCAAATCCATCAATTTCTTACTGTCATTGTTTACATCCTAGTCTGTATTACTACTATTCCTGCTTGGACCATGGCAGTAGCTACCTGTTGGTATCCTCACTTGCAATGAATTCTTTCCACCCAACCAGAATGAACATTCAGAAGTTCAAATAACAGTATCTAGTTAACTTCTCCATGCAGCTAGAATTGTCTTAATTTTTTTTCCCATCACAGGCAATTTATTTTGTTCTATTCATTCACAGTTAATACAGAATGTCAGAGCCCTGCATTATTCATCTTCTGTCCATTTTTCCTCGTTCTTTACTGCAAATTCCCCTCTACCCATCCCATTTTTTAAAATATGGCTTTCACACTTACCAATGTCAAATATCACTTGATCATTCTTTGAGACCCCATTGTCCTCTCCTTCACTCTGTTCTTTATTTATACAGATGTCTTCTTGTTATTCATATGTCAACACAAAATAATTTCAGACCAATCCCCACCCCCTTTAATAAGTCTGAATAGATCCCCATCACTGCCATGTGAACTCATTTAAGAAATATATAAATGGCACTTATGATCATAGGACTTCTCTCATTTGTTAACTGTTTCTTCTCCCTAGGAATGAACACCACTAAAATAGGAATATTTTTTTCCTGTAAATTCTGACTATTCTATCACTTCTTATTTCCATGAATAATGGGTCAGTTTTCATTTTCCTATTCCTTAAGTCTTATTTTAAGTGTAAGAGTGTTTGTCTGCATGTATGTTATATATCACATGCATGTAGTGCCCGACAGAGGTCAGTGAGCATGTCAGATTCCCTGGAATTAGAATATCTGTCCCTGCCCAAAGCAGCCAAGCACAGAATCTGGTAGCTGCCAATCAAAGAGTCATGCCCAACAGTTTTATCAAAAGAAAATTAGACTTGAAAAGCTTTCAATAAAGATCTATTATTAACATCAATATTCTTGACAGTATTCAACAATGCTCAAGTCCTAGATGAATACCTTTATGGCGAATACCTTTATGGTCAATTTATCCATCTCGCTTTGAAATAGTATCAGTTCCTCTCGGGTATGGCTATGGCAAGTAGCAATGTCATTTGCCAAACAAAAGTAATAACTGTAAAGGGATATAGTAAAAATAGTTGCTGTAACTATGTATTTACAGTTTCCCTAGTTTCGGCTTTTCAGAATTTTATAATGATCTTTCTGGTTTTTTGTTTGTTTGTTTGTTGTATCAGAAAAAAATCCTTTCCCAGCTGTGGACCTCAGGCCTATACCCTTCTGCTTACTGGTGTGGACAGGCTCTGGTGGACATTCCCCTGTACTTTTTGATTCTCCTTCTCATGCAAATAATGGACTGTGTTTTTAGTCAGGAAGAGATTATATTTATAATTGAAAACCTGTTAATCCAGGTAAGTGTAAAGATTTAGAATTCCTTACATTTTGGAATAAAGTTTTATTAGACCATCTTTTCCATGAATGTTGTCACTAGGGTCAGGAGTCTCCTTTGCAGGTTCTATCTGGGTCCTGTTGACATAAGAATTTTAAAAACTTACTAAGGGAAAAACTTGAGAATAATTTGTTGAGGTTCAAAAGAGAAAAATTCCAGGACATACAAGCTGGAAATGTTAGCAACTGCCAAGAGAAGGGATCGAGAACAATAAGAGGGATAGTTAAACTTTCACAGAGCACAGGGAAAAAGGTAGACCATGGAGGAAGGTGAGAACGCTGTGAAAAGAGAAAGAATGAGGTGGTCATTTTTGCTGACAGGGTGCAAAAACTGTCCTTTTCCAAGGTAATAGCTCGAAAGCAGCTCTCTGCGCTTTTGGATCAACAAGAGTGGGAACTATCTCACATTAATATTATTAGCATTGTTTGACTTTGCCCTGTAGTGAGCTGTCAGTTGCTCTGGGGGGGCTTAGGCCTCAGGATATGTCAAGGATAAAAAGAGATAGTAACGAACTGCTCATGTTATTAGCTTACCTTTTGGTTGTATTAGCTTTGGACAAAGAACGAGTAACAGACACCATCTTATATTGTCACTTTGCCCTTTAATGTTGCTGTTATTGGGCCATTTTGAAGGCCCTGTCATGACCCTTGCAGTTAGTCCCAAGCATCCTGAGGACTGTTATTGCCCATTGAAAGGCCAGCAATGTTGTATTGTTTTGATCTTATTTTAAGCTAGTTCTTTAAGAGCTTCATACATGTTTTGATCCTATGTATCCCCTCTCCCTCAACTCTTAATTCACCCACTCAACCTTTGTTAATCTCTAATCTGTGAGGAGAAAAGCCACTTCCACAACCGACCAAATAAAGCAAACTTTATTTTAGAGGTGCACCCAGGTCTGGCCAGCCAGCTGTCTCACCCTAAGTCAGAGCTTTAGAGAGCAGCCATGGTCTAGCTTTTTGAGGTCCCTTTTATGAGGAAGAGCCACAAGGTTAATAAAAAAAAAGCTGCAAGCACATTTGCGGGGGCTGTTAGGAAAAATACAGTCAAAAGGCAAGAATACACATCATGAAGGTGGAGAGTCATATGTCATAGGGTTGGTGGCCACGGGTGTAGATCAAGTTATCCTGTAAACATATTTTACAAGGCAAGGGACAATGATGCATCATGGGGTCACAAGTTTAGTGTAGGTTCAAAGACATGTTTTGCAAAGTACAGCAGGTTTAGAAAACAGAAACAGTCTCTCCCACCCCCCATCCCCGTATTTATTTATTTAAATTTATTTATTTATTTTACATCCCGGTCGCAGTTTCCCCTCCCTCCTCTCCTGCCAGTCCCTCCCCCACCGTGTTCTGTTTGTCTCCACTGCCAGTACAGTCCTCCTCTGTAGAAAACTATTCTCGTAGTTAACAACAATATGGCTCCTGTGTTGAAGTGAAGCCGCCATGGCTTCTCCTCTGGCTTCATACCTTGCAGCCTTAAAATCTTTCAAGACCAACTCGTGCTGCCCAAATAGTTTCACAAGTGTGGTCTCCCACTGGAGATTATGCAACTTACCAGGGCCTTACACTCTTAGAAAACACCGCCTCTCCGCAGCTAATAATTGCCAGTAGCTCCATGGCTCGGAGTGGAATTGTATGCCTAACTTGGGCCCACACATCTTATGCATGCTACCACAACTGCTGTGAGTTCATAGGGGCAGGTGCCCTGCTGTGTCCAGATGTTTCCTCTGTAGTCTACCACCTCCAGCTCTTACACCCCTGCTGCCCCCTCTTCTGCGGTGATGTCTGAGCCTTGCAGGGTGGTGGGGAGAGGTGTGCGGTGTTTATGTTCCATTTAGGACTCAGAATTCTGCAGTCTCTTAGACTCTGGCCTTTGGCCAGTTGTGGGTCACTGTGCTAATCTCCATCTACTACAAATAGAAGGTTCTCCGCACTGGTTTATTTTACCAAGCCATGGAAGATTAGTACTTGAAAATTTGTTATAAGCAGTTTAGAAATGTTTCAGTGCAGCACTTAAAATTTGTCTACTTTGACATTTTTAAAATTCCTTATCTGCCAGGTATTAGCAACCATCAGTCAGGCCATTCATTTGGGAGGAAGCAGACATGTTGGGATTCGTGTCTCAAATGATGCCTGGAAAGGAGATAGCATCAGGGGTCCTTTTCATTCCCTTCCCTCCTGCCTAGCCTTCCCCACCAGTATTATAATTATTATTATTATTAAACCAAAGAACTTCAAATTGCCTATGCTTCTGATGATTATGAAGAGTTGAGGGTTAAGCATGAATACTTTCCTAAGTAGTAGTCGTCTGTGTAACCTGAATGCTTCTGTTTTCAGATCCTGTGTAGTATTGGATATGCATCATCTCTTGTTTTCTTGACATACGTAATTTCATTCATTTTTCGTAATGGCAGAAAAAATAGTGGTATTTGGTCATTTTTCTTCTTAATTGTAAGTATGCACGTGATGCTTCTTGTTTTATTTTTAACTCTTTCTTGAATAAATCTAGGGGCATATATTTTATTTTACTTAAAATTTGTTTTAGACTTATTTATTTTCTATTATGTGTATGAGTGTTTTGCCTGCTTGAATGTATGTATACCACATGTATGCCTGGTGCCTGTGGAGTTCAGAAGAGGATATCAGAGCCCTTGGAACTGGAGTTGAGGATGGTTGTGAGGATATCAGATCCCTTGGAACTGGAGTTGAGAATGGTTGTGAAACACTATGTATACACTGAGAACTGAACCTGGGTTCTCTTGAAGAGTAGCAAGAGCTCTTAAGCCCTGAGCCTCCCCAGCCTTAAGGAGCATATATTTTAGTCACTGTACTAAGCAGAGCGGCAAATTAATAATTCTTTTTAGAAAATTTTAATTGCTCTAAGGTGATCATAGATCTATGTAAATTGTACTGTATGTGTGGATGTATGTCTACAGAGCTTGAGGGATCCAGGAGGTAGAGATTTCTACCCCCATGGCCATTCATTTATTTCTATTGCTATACTATACCATTGATAGATATATCCATCAATTGATTTCTCCATTGTTGATACCTATCAAATGGCTTCCTGTTTGGGGCTGTTATTGATAATACTGACAGGAAGTCAGTATTGTGTATACTTTGGCACATCTATGTATACATTCATATATGTATCTGGGGATACAAACCTAGCAGTGGAATTCTTAGGAAAAATTATTTATATATTCACCTTTGGTATGTTGTGCAAATGAGTTGTTTACAGTAACATGAACTCAAGGAATTAATTTATTATACAGTTCCTTCAAACAAAAACTGAATAAAACCATTCAGCCACACAAAAGCTTCACAAATGTTTATAGCAGCTTTATCAATTGCCCAAATATAGAGCTAACCAAGACATATAAAGATGCTAAATGGTTAAATAAATGGAAGCATATCCATGTAATAGAATATTATTTACTTCTAAGAAGAAATGAGCTATCAATCTTGGAAAGACAAGAAATAAAGACAACATGAAAAGGCTACCTACCATAATTCCAATTACATGACATTCCAGAAAAACTATGAAAATAATAAAAAAGATTAGTGGTTGCCAAGAGTTATGAAAATGGAAAGATGGGTAGGTGAGCATGGGGAAATTTTAGGACAATGAAATACTTTGCATAATACTACAATGATAAATACATGTTATTGTAACTTCAAAATGTGTAGACTATACAACAATAAGAATGAACTCTAATACAAAATGTGCCTGAAGATTAAATAAAAATTTAAAAAGGTAACATATTTAAACACTTAGAAAAAAAACTTAAGGTGAATAATTTCTTTTGGAAAATTATTTTAAAGCTGAGAAAGATAATATTCCTGGGTCTGTAGATTAGTGATAGAGCACTTGCCTTGTGCGAGTGATGCTGTAGGTTCAATCCAGTACTGCATGTGTTTGTGTGCTCATGTGTTGTGTGTGTGCATGTGGGGAGAGGGTTATGCGTGTGTGCATGTGTACATGTGCACATGTGTGTGAGTGTATAAAATTGTTGGTATGTTTACTTAGACAAGCAAAGGACAATGTTCTAGATAAAAAGACAGTAAAGCCAACCCAGAAGAAGTTTCTTTTTATTTATTTATTTATTTATTTATTTATTTATTTATTTATTTATTTATTTATTTATTTATTTATTTATTTATTTCTAAAGACAGGGTTTCTCTGTGTAGCCCTGGCTGTCCTGGAACTCACTTTGTAGACCAGGCTGGCCTCAAACTCACAGAGATCTGCCTCTGCTTCCTGAGTGCTGTGATCAAAAGTGTGCACCACCTCACCTGGCTTAGAAGAAATTTAAGAGAGTAATAACAACAAAAAGTAAAAGAGGACATGAAGCTGGGGAGACCTTGAGTATGTACTAGAAGGAGCTGGAGGGTGAGGGTAGTGTTGGATGGATATGATCAGGATACTTTGTATAAATGCATGGTTATCTTCTTCCAAGAATAAAAATATTTAAATACTGCAAAAAGAATAATAATGAACAATAACCAACGACTGATTCCAGAATGCAATGTTGATTGAGTATTAGCAACAGTCAAAGTAAAGGAGGGAATCACACAGGTTAAAGAAACATCACATGGTTTCTGAAACATGCCCCCCCACCCCGTAGAAAATAAACATAAATTCAAGAGCACAGATTTGAGAAGCCAATGGCAAATACCATAATGTTAAAATTATAAATTACTCATTCAGTGTTAGCACTTGGACAGTGATGCCTACAATAGTTGACTATAACACCTTGAGTGAGCAAGGCATGGTATAATGTACACTCCCATCGTGGCTTTTAGAGGAGCAGAATGTCACAAATATTTTTGGAAATATTTTTGACAACTGTTAATTTTTAAATGTACAAAGAAGATTTTAATTTGGGGGAGGTGGACAGATGGCTGAGTGTTAAGAGCACTGGCTTCTCTTCCAGAGGACCAGAGTTTAATTCCCAACACTTACATGTTGGCTCACAACTGTCTATGACTTCAGTCCTAGGGAATCCAACATCCTCTTTTTGGCCTCCTCAGGCATCAGGCAATCACACAGTATGCAGGCATGCATGTAGGCAAAAATAAAATCCTGGACACAAAACAATAATAGAAATGAAAAATTTAATAAAAAGATTTTAATCTTCAATGCTGAAAGTCTCAATATAGAAAATATTAAGGTATACCACAATTAATATGACCAGAAAAATCAAACAACAAAATTTTGACGATCCACTCTTACACATTCAATCAAGGAAATATCCAGCTGTAAAAATTAATAACCAGTATTCTTAGACTTAGAAAGATATCCAAGACTTATATTGAAGTGAAAAAAAGGATGTATAGAAATGAATGACCAAAGAATGCCATCATCAAAATCTGATTTTTACACACATTGTGTTTGAAAAGCGTTGCCTTCCAATAAAATTGCGACATGGTTTGCGACACAAAGAAAAAAGTATGATGGCAATGCTGTATTGCATGAGATACAAATCTATAGTAGGAGCACTGATGAGGTGAGCTTCTGTTCTCTCTGAAAAGAAGCTGTCATTCGTGTCACTGTGCTTTAGTGACACCGTACTGTGCTTTCATTTCAGGTCACCATCTTCTGCATCGTTGCTACTGACATAAATGAGTATGGGTTTCTAGCGCTCCTATTCTGCACCTTTTTAATACCGCCCTTCACGCTGATTGGCTCTCTACTAATTTTTTCTGAGGTAAGTAGTTTCACTCTTCTCCTACCATCATCAAGTGTAACGCTACCAAAGAAAGCCTTGAATATTATCAATTCAGGCAAAGTCAGTTCCTGGCTGTGCAATGTTTGAAGCTGTGATTTTGAGAAAGTGATTTCTCTACAACATGCAAAGGGCACAGCCACATTCTTTATTGCTAAAAAGCCCTGCCCTGGTTCATGAAGGCCAATGGAAACTCCAGACTAGTAGCGTTTCACAGCCTTCTCTCCTGGGAACCCTACTATAAGTCAGAAGAAAGGTGTCTCTTCTGTTCAGGTTAGGATGTATTACCTGAAAAGAACCACGCAACAGTCAGTTGTATATACTGACCTGGAGTTTAGCCTCTGGGGAGATTAAGAAAGCAGCAGATTTCTGAGATTCATCAGTTTATAAGTGTTGGTAAAATCAGTATAACTGAGTAATAGAAGTAGAAGTAATAGAAAAGCACATAGAATTTGAAATAAAAAGTCAAGACTTGACTTTGAACTCCAAAATTGAGAAGTTTGGAGAGAGGAGGAGTCTGGTAAATCAGTGTGAACAGGAGCCAGAGAAATTGCTGACTTCAGACTGTCACATCCCCCCCCAACCCCCCCCCATCTCCGCCCAAGCTCTGCCTCAGCAGTGAAGAGTCAGTTTCCAGGGATGAAATAAGAGTGTTTCTATAAATAAAGACCTAGTAAGCCACCAACTGCTACTGAACAATCCAGAAGGATGCCAGGTGGAAAAAGACCATTCTGTCTAAGGACAGAAAGGTCACTGGTGATATTAGCAGTGTCCATTTCAATGAAAGCCTCAGCTTTACTCAGTGAGCCTAGCAGAGAATGGGAGGTGAGCAAGTGCTGGCATGGCAAGCATGTCTATGCATTTTATGTCAAGACAGTAGGAGTGGAAGAACAGGTGAATCGGGAGGTGGTCGATGTTTTCAGTTCAGTTTTGCTAAGGAGTATCATACTGCGCTGATGTGAAATATGAAATTACTCACAGTAAGAGAGAAGAGCATTGTCCAGGGAGTAAACTCTGAAAAGGTGAAAGAAAACCATCAGCATGCATTGGACAAGTGGAGAGGTTGCTGTCCATTATATAGGATTCACCATCTACTTAAGAAAACCGAGTGTGTGGATATAGAGAATAGGCTGTCTCTCGTTTGGAGAATGAGATGTCTCTCTTTTGAATGAATTGCAGTCATTAACTGTGTGTGACATGTTCAAGGCAGAATTAACACTTTGATGCCAGAAGAAAATATATGAAAAATTATATGAAAAAATATTTCTGGGATTGAATCAGTAAAATTGGCAGAGCTGTGAGAACAGAACTTGCTTTTCAAGTGGAGTAGGCAAAATTGAGAGTCAAAACTATCCAGAAAGATCTCTTGATGAATGCAGAAGTGAAATTAGCCATTACTTTTTATTCATGATACAATGAGATCTCCTTTATTGAGCTCTAATGGAACAGGGTACTTAAATGTGGTGCACGTGAAACCCCATATGAAAAATTTGCCTGACTTGGAGGGTAGTCATGATTATTTTCTAAAATGGGTGTCAGGAGATAAGAACAAGATGAATCCAGGGTCTGCAAAGGAGGAATAGCAAGAAGGAGAGAAGGAGTATGAATAAGAACAGAAAAGCAGGTGATCTCAGCTCAGGGAGACGGTTTGCTTCAGAAAGACTTGCCAGTGTCTTCAGGGGCAGTGTCTACCAGCACTGCCCACGATCTTGCTCACTGTCCGTGTTGCAAGGAACATATCCTGCTCCTCGGCCTGTGGACAAGCTCAAGTTCATGGAAACACTAGGGAACAAGGGCAGGATACCCAGGTCAGGAACAGACTCTGCCCCGTACCCAGGTTACATGGGTTCATTGCAGACAGGATGAATCATGATCAGAGGAATGTTCACTCGAACATGTCTTCTCATTTTGCAGGTTTCTTATGACTCTGTGGATTACTTAGGAGCCTCAGAATCTCAAGTCCTGTTTCTGGCGTTGCTAATAGTAAGATGGCATTTCCTTTTTAATGTTTTTGCATTAGGAGACACATTTGTACATTTTAAAACTTTCTTTGTATTTATTCTATGTGTCTTTTTTACATCATGTATCTTGATCCCATTCATTTCCCTGTCCCTTCTAATCCACCCTCGACTCCTGCACTCCCCCCACCCAATAAAACAAAATTTAAGAGAGGGGAAAAATTAAAAGTGGAAAAAAATAGAAATCTCATCATGGAAGCTGCAGTGTGACACAGTGAGTCATGAAGTAAACCCCTTTGTCCATGTACCTTTGCTTGCAAGTGTTCATTGCAAAGAGTCGTTGGTCTGGTTTGAGGCCTCTGCTCTAACATCTACCCCATCTAAGATCTGCTGGAGCACATGAAGGGACCTGACCCACAGACCCAGAACTGCATGATCTCCACAACACAGGGCAAACTGTAGACAGAAGTTTCTCAGTCCTGCCTAGCCCGGCAGTCCAGACAAATCTCTCCCACCCGCGGCCCCACAGCTGCTTATAAAATAATTACACAGAGGCTTATATTAATTACAAATTGTTTGGCCTATGGCTCAGGCTCATTATTAACTAGCTCTTATAACTTATTTCAACCCATTTCTATTAATCTATGTTTGCCACATGGCTTCATGGCATTACTTGGCCTCTCACATCTTGCTTCTCCTGGCGGTGGCTTGCAGTGTCTGCCGTGACTCCACCCTTCTTCATCTCCCTCTTCAGTTTAAATGTACCGCCTAACCTTATTCTGCCTCGCCACTGGCCAAACAGCTTTATTTATCAACCAATGAGGGCAATACATATTCACAGCATACAGAAAGACATCCCACAGCAGGTAACATAGGACATTTCTACTTTTTTGTGTTTCTTTGAGTTTCAACAAATTATGTGGAAATTTGGGAGTATAAGAAATAAAACACACACACACACACACACACACACACACACACACATACACACACAACTTTAAATCTGAACCACTCACATGACAGTGATCATTTGATGACAAGTGTGGAGCCCAAACTCTAAACAGCATTACTAGTGCTTGTATCAACTCATTACTACTGTTAGTTTTTTTTAATGTTTATTTATTTATTATTTATTTATTATTTATTTATTTATTATTTATTTATTTATTTATTTATTTATTTACTGGGGTGTGGTACATGCTATGGCATGCGTGTAGAAGTCAGAGAACAACTTGTGAGAGTCACTTTTCCCTTCCACCATGTGGGTCCCGGGGATTGAACTCAGGTCATCAGGCTGGGCAGCAAGCATCTTTATCAACTGCACTTTCTCTCTGGCTCACTATTACTATGTCTATACTATTCCTGTTTTGGGTAACAAAAGGGCTAACTTTGACAGATTCAGACAGTATCAAGTAGATTATATTTAGGTTTGAGAGAATGTTATCAAATGTCATTTTATACGTGGTCAGTCTCATAAATTAATTCCAATATGAAAGCAAGTGTGTTTATGATGAAGCTAATTTTGTTTTTCTTTCTCTGTCCCTAGCCTTACTTCCATTTCCTCCTTTTCTTTTTTGTTCTGCGATGTCTGGAAAGGTACCTCAGGAAGAAATCACTGAGAATGGACCCTGTGTTCAGGTTGAGAGCATTCAAATACAATTTTGTGTTTCATTTAATCTTCATATGCTTAAATTAATTAGTGGAAGGGACAACCCATGATGGTTTTGAGGGCCTGTGTTGTCAGCAAAATTATTATAATTCACAATCTTACAGTGTAGTAGGCAAAGTGACATTAGCGTACACAAAACCCTGACAAATTAGGAGAGATGGAAATTTCACTGGCACACTTAGGTTATATACAAGAGGTGGTATCTTTAAAAGAATGGGAAAATACAGCTAAGCAATTGGATACATGTTGACAGTCCAAGAAAGAAATACACTGAGCAATAAGACAATGGTTGAGATGCAGACTCTTTTCCCACAGACTTGAGGAGACAGCTGGGACAAATTTAAAGGCTGTGTTGAAGGATAGCAGAAAATAAAAGTGAAGCTGAATATTGGAAGATACTGAAATAGGGAAGTATGGGGAAGGTATTGAAAATTACTTAATGAGCAACTGATGTATTGCTCATATGTTTTGCCCACTTAGTTACTGTCCTATTTTTTCAAAGAGACACCATAACTAAGGCAACTCTTATAAAAGAAAGCACATAACTGGAGGCTTACTTACAGTTTTAGAGGGTTAGTACATGATTAACATGGTGGGAAGCATACAGGCATGGTGCTGGAACACTAGCTGAGAAATTTACATCCTGATGCACAGACAACAGGCAGAGAGATAGAGAGGAAGACTGGGCTTGACATGGGCTTTTGAAGCCTCTAAGCCCACCCCTAGTGACACACCTACTCCAACAAGGCCACACCTACTTCAACAAGACCACACCCCAGTCCTTCCAAAGCAGTTTCACTATCTGGTGACTAAGCATTCAAATATCTGGGCCTATGGAGGCCATTCTTATTCAAACCAACACACACACACACACACACACACACACACACACACACACACACATACACACACACACACACACACCCAGTTTCTCCCACAAAATAAAAAAATCAAACTCAAATCTACATTTGATGAAAAGAAAAAAAAAAAAGAGTGACCAGCTGACATCATGGTTTAGGGAAACCATCCAGGCATAGTAACTCAGGTGACCCAAGGGAGGGAAGAAAGAATCAGCCAACTCATTATAGGTGATTAGAAGTCTTGTTTGTCAGCCTCGGGAAGGGCCGACAGACACATTCTTAAGAGGTAGCACACCGAGTAACTGAATGGACCTATGTTCCTAATTTCATGTGCTCTGGCCCTTCGTTCTTATGAAACTGACAGCATCGTAAAATATACCCCACTTCACTTCTAGATTTCTTTCCTCAAGGAAAGCTGCCTTAACATTCATAACAGTGGGAGTGTGCTGTTTGATAGCTGACGGGAAAAATGTCATCACTGATTAAGAGAACTATATTTAGTTAAAAAGCAAGAATGAAGAGGAGCAGAGTCATTTGACTCGTTTGTAGAAAGAAATGAGAGTATTTGAAAGGTACACAACAGAGCAGAAGACCGGAGTGGTGCTGTTCCCAGTCGTCTATTTCAATACCTGATAAGTTTAATGCACTGTTTGGATTTTAGAATTTCTCCAAGAAGTTGTAATGCTTTTCCAAACCCAGAAGAACCCGGAGAAGAGGATGAAGATGTTCAGATGGAAAGAATGAGAACAGCAGGTGCTGTGACTGCCCTACAGATGGAAGAGGTGGAGCTCATAAAAGTATTCTTCCTTTCTTCCTCAAACAATTCTGCCAGCTAGATGAGAAACATTCCAATCTTAATTCTCTTCAAAGCTGGGGGATGGGAGTTCTTTTGCTCTTACAGTTCATCACTTGATGTCAGTAGGTATGCAGTGACCACAAGCTATGAAAGCAAAAGGAACACACACACACACACACACACACACACTCACACACACACACATACTCACACACACACACACACACACATACTCACACACACTCACACTCAAACACACACACACATACTCACACACACACACATACTCACACACACACACATACTCACATA